AACCTATGCCCATCTCTCTAAGCCTTGGCTACTTGCCTTGCTTCTGAGCCAGAATGGCCCTAGAAATGACTGCTACCACACTGTGTGCTTATGAAAGCCAGCTGCTACCATCATTACCACTCACCAAGGAGACCCCATGTTAATGGATAAGGAGAGACTGTGGAGCCTGGACACTCAACAGGCTGTACTCAAGGCGGCTCTGGCTTCCCCAGGGGTTGCCTGGAAGAACTGGTTAATATCAGCAGAAAGAATGACGAAATTAACCCTCTGTGACCAGTAAGTGACAGGAGATGTAAGGCACCTGCATATGAAGTGCCCATCCTCCTTCCCCAGGAGGCACTGTTCTGTTCTGTAACACACAACTGAGCAAGAAGCTGAACTGCTCAACGGCTATGACCAGCTCAGGAATACTCAGTCTTCTATTTGCCCTCCCTCATTCCCTGTATCGTTTCTCTATTTCCCTAACTCTTAATTCCCTGGGATTGTAACACCCCTTCCCCCAGTAAAGTGTTAGCACATAAGCTTTTGCCTGTGTTTTCTAGGAAATCTGAGCTAAGACACGAGATGACTACTTGAGATACGTAATTTTATTGTATAAAAAGTAGTTGGCAGACTGCAGCAATCAGAGTGAGTACTGGAGGACACTGGCTGTCAAAATTCCTTCCCTCTTCCCCTCTATGATTCAATAGTATGAAAAGCAACTCTTAATGCTTTAGTCCATATTTTGGATACCACATACCTCCTGCAGTAGGAACTAAAGAATTATAAATTTTCTTGATATATGGAATAATTGTTTCAATATTTTATATCCATAGCTATATCTTCCATTTTTATGCATTTAAAAATTCTCCTTGCTAAGATTCAGGAAGACTTTTTAATTTAAAATGCTGTGTTACTACGAAAAGCACCAAATAAACCCATTCAAAGTTCAAATTATGTAGCCATGGGGGGCAGTATATCTCACAGCCAATTCATTCTTGTAGGATTACCAAAACATTGTATTCTATTAAAAGTTAGATTCACGGATGGGCCAGACAAAAATTTTTTAACATTGGGGTAGTGCTACATAATATCAATCCTTAAAACATTTTGGACCTAAATTGGTTCTTCCATATTTAATGGCACATACTGTGGGATACCAGCTGGGTACTGGTTTGAGTATGTTATCAGGTATGACAATATTTTATTTGTGTCTCAGGTCCATCTGAGAGAATATGCTGGTTTCCTAAGTATTTATTACAGAATTACCAACTCTGCCATAGGCATATTTAGAATTTAACACACAAGAAATTCTCTTTAATCAATAGTACAGAAAAATAGGACCTCAGACTCATCAGATAATTCATCTGTGAATTAGAAATTGGGCATTCACCAAAAGGAAGATGCAGTTTGCCTAATATTTGAGAAAGATGGCCTGGAAGATGAGTTAACACTCCATTCCTCTCGCTTATCTAAGCTTCACTGTCATTAATTTAGATTTAGCAGTAAACAAGAAATCTATATTATAGTACCTTAATATTCTAAAGAAATGCTTTCACTAAATTATTATTTAATGCTATATGCTCAGATTTTAGAGAAGAGCAATAAACGAAGTAACCATCTAAATAATGTTTCTGAGTTTTTTATAAAATCAGTTAATAAATGTGGTCTACTGCAGTATCAAAGCTCTTTGTTGATCTAGGTGAGAAAAACCCATAATGCTCAGAAAAAATGATGTTATTTGAAATATTATTGTTTATTATTATTTGCCTTAGCAAAAATTAAAAAGTGAAATCTAGCATTCAACTCCAATAATTATGTTTTCAGGTAACTGATAAAGCATTTCTTCCCTTTCAATTAATGTCAGCTTCTTTATAAGATTTAACTCTCCCTTTTAATGCTTTTGATACAGAAGTTGCTCCAAACCTAAAAATTAATTAACTAAATATGCAATAAAGTTACTTAATAAGTAGTTATAGCAAAAGCATATTTACATATATTACAGATGAAAGAGGGAATTTTATAATCAGGTTAAATCAGGCAAGTTTTAATTTAACAGGATCATGTCAATAATACACATATGTGATGGAAGAAGAAACGAGCTGGCAAGTCATTCCTCTTTCCTTGTTTTCCATGTTTTTTGAGCTTTACTGCATTCTTCATGGAGAATTTCCCTATAACACCACTTTTCTTTTTACCTACTTTGTTTCTCTTCTCAGTGACTTTATGGACTACTTTACAGGGAAAGAATTTAAATAGAAACTATAGCAAATATTAATAATTAACCAGCTACAGGGATAGAATTCAATTACCACACACTTTGTGTGATTTCCAAACTTATTTGATATAATTCATTATAAGAATTATTGAAAGTGACAAATAGCCTTTCATAATTGTAGCTTATGTGAATAACTCCACTATTAGACCATGTCTAATTATGTCAAATAGACATCTCCGTGTAAAAAGTATGGTAGATTACTACATTTATAAACAATACATTTTTCAGTGGTTTTGTTGGTATCACATAGTCAATCTCAGAGAAGAGTATCTTTAGAAGGAATTAATTAGATATATCTCTGTTTCTCAACTTTGTATTATTTCATACCACTTACACAGTATTTTGTTAAGAGTAGCATGTTACATAAATTAGGTGTAAATTATAGTCCCAAATCGGATGGAGATCGCTAAAAAAAAAAATCTCATTAGGAAGTGCAAATCCCCAAATCTGGTGTCCCGCATTACACCTATAAATGTGTGGCAATTCCCAGCACTTCAAAAGCCTGCCTCTTGCTGAGACAGTCATACCTGCTGGTCTATATCTTCTGTTTTGGGATTAATTGCTAGGTTTCACCATCATGGGAATACTTGTCCACTGTTCTAAGTTCAAAGGTAGCCCTTTCTCTCGGGTCACGCTCCGTATCTCATTTGATTTCTTGTCCTTAGTCTGGCCTGAATCCTAGTGTCTAAATATTAGATGCCACCACTAGTTGTCTTTCAGACTTCCTTTCTGAATAAGGAACCTTTCTAATGTCACTAAATTTGACCCTATTTATCAAACTGATCTCTCTGAAACTGCATTCCTCTTTCAAGGTAAAATGGTTTTGTTGGCTAGCAACACCTTCTCCATCATCCAGCCCCATCATCCAACTATCAACACATTCTTGAGGCATTAACTTTTATGCTACTTAGGAAATCAGTTCTTTACTTGATGTTAGGTGATCCCTTCAGGTTTTCATCCCTCAACAATTCACAGAAATTTTATATGAAACAATTAATGATAAAAAATCAAAATCTACCAAATTATTATTATACCTATTCTTATCTATTATGTAAGCCCATAATATATTAGTGTTAGGCTCATTATATGCCATTAACCATTATACCCATTAGATCAGAGCTGCATCTGGTAGTACATACGTGATTTACATTTTGAAATTTACAAGGATGATGATAGAAGAACAATATATTCCTCCAACTATAATAGTGAGTTAAAAAAATTAAAAAGTGGCCGGGCGTGGTGGCTCACGCCCAGCACTTTGGGAGGCTGAGACAGGTGGATCATGAGGTCAGGAGATAAAGACCATCCTGGCCGACATGGTGAAACCCCATCTCTGCTAAAATACAAAAATTAGTCAGGCATGGTGGCGTGCGCCTGTAGTCCCAGCTACTCGGGAGGCTGGGGCAGGGGAATGGGTTGAACCTGGGAGGCGGAGATTGCAGTGAGCTGAGATCGTGCCACTGCACTCCAGCCTGGTAACGCAGTGAGACTCTGTCTCAAAAAAAAAAAAAAATAAATAAATAAATAAAATAAATAAAAAATTAAAAAGAAACTTTAAAATAGTTTCTTCAGAACAGTCTAAAATTCATTTTGGCAGCAAATATTTCACTTTTTTTTTTTTCTTTTAAAAGAAGGCAAAGTAGAATAGTTTACACTTACAAACTAAAAAGCTTTTTTGTTGTTGAGACAGAGTTTCGCTCTTGTCGCCCAGGCTGGAGTGCAATGGCGCAATCTCGGCTCACTGCAACCTCCTCCTTCCCAGGTTCAAGTGATTCTCCTGCCTCAGCCTCCCGAGTGGCTGGGATTACAGGCTTGCACTGCCACGCCCGGCTAATTTTTGTATTTTTAGTAGAGATAGGGTTTCACCACGTTGGCCAGGCTTGAACTTCTGATCTCAAGTGATCCACCCGCCTCAGCCTCCCAAAGTGCTGAGATTACAAGCGTGAGCCACTGCCCCCGGCCTCCTAAAAGGTTTTCTTTTCTTTTCTTTTTTTTTTTAAACAAGAACAAGAACAAAAACAAAAAACAAAAACAAAAGTCTTTATGGGTATCATCTTCCCGGAACGTTTATGATTGATTTTCCTACTAAATAGCCTTATGAAAATAAAACGTAAGCTTAACAAGGTTCATATTAACATAAGCAATTTTGTAGTTCTATATCCAAATGTTTTCTTTTAGCAAATGTTCCCAGTATTCAAAATATTAAGAGAGAAATAGTCATCTAGTCCTTCCCTTTAATGCAATGATGAAATCAGTATTGAAATCATGGAATATAATCTCCAGTTACTAATTGAAGTGATTACTAGCACAATAGAAAAGCAGGCTTCTTTCCAATCTCACCAGCCATACCATTCATCATGTCTGTTTTCAAGTAATAAAACTGGCATTGAAAAAACATCAAGAGGGATAAGGTCAGAACACTGCACCAAAAATGAGAAGTCCCTGGCTTAAAAAGTTTGTCATTTAAAGGGCTGGATTCCTTTATCCCAGCACAGTATACAGCTCAAAGTTAGCTGGAGGATAACATTTCCAATTATGAGTCATATAAATTGCAAGAAGAATAAACCTGTGTCAAAGGAAGGGATCCTGAAGAGACCAATTGCATTGGAGCTACAAACTGGTAGAAAGATTTTCAAGACCTCCTTTTTACAAAAGAATCCAAGATGTTGGGTCTAACAAAGGTAAATGTCACAAGAAACCGAAACTCAGACCCAGACAAATACACACATATATATAGTTTTACCTTGCTGCGTTGGGATCCTGTGACCTTAAGGAAGGATGAGGACAAGAAGCAAAATAGCAATAAACAATTGCTCTGAAGACAACAGATAGACCATAAATGGTGTGCACTTCAGAAAAACAGTACTATTTGCTGCTCACAGCTCATTCTAACTGACCTCACTTTCTTATCAATAAAGATGACTTTGAGAATAGAAAACACATACATTAGAAAAGATTCTAGAAATCATACCGAAATTAATCTTATGGCATTTTTCTCAGCCAGCAATAGTCATGAGTTCCTCAAATTAGATTGTTTTTATATTTTTGACTCATTGACTTCAATGCTGCAGACATGCTCATAACAAATGGATCCTGGAAGGTCACTGCTCTGAGCTTATTCCTTAGCTAATATGTTTTTGTGGGTCCACTTTAATTAAAGACTCGTTGCTGGCTACTGATATATTTCCAGACTTCTAGCTCAAAGTCCAGACATGTAAATTAAAAGGAAAAGAAAAAGAATCTAATTTCTATTTTCCTGCACTTAATTTCTTTATGAAAATTCTAAAAAAAAAAAAAAGAACCAATAAACAAAAAGAGTGGTAGTTAGCAACAACTAGCTTTTCCTCATAAAAAATGAAAGTATAGTATAAGCAAATGGGGAAAATATCAAGAACTTTCCTTTGGGCTAAGTAACATTAAGCAGCATTTCAAATTATATAGGACATTTAAAAGCTGAGAGCACTTGAGAAAATAATCGTAATACAGTCCTAGGGATATATGGACTCCTACCTCATGCAAGCAAACTGCGTTGTGTGCCACTATCTGCATATGTACATGGAATGAGTGATCTAATTGGGCAGAAGTCTTTAAGGCCAAATCTTTAAGACTTCTATTGAGGAAAAAATATCAAACCAAGGGTTTGATGAAAAACTTGATGTCATGTTGTTCTTCAATAAACATTTTCATCACGTCTGTTGGAAATTCCAGACCACGACATCACTGAGATGAGAACAATTTGAAGCCGTCTCATCTCTGAGGGTTCTCAGGAACACTCATTCTGAACATATGGGCTTCATTATGTTATTTAACTATTCTATGATCCTTGGTCTTAACTTCAGCAAATGTTAGGACTCGGGTTTGTCCATCCAGCTCTGACATGCAGTTCCTTGACACAATAAGCTGCAATAAGCCATGAAGCAAGAAACATAAATGTCAGTTATAAGCTATGAAACAATGTTTCAAGATAGAAAAAAGGCAAATCCAGAAAGATCCATCTTACTTCAAAACTCTTCACTTCCTCTTCCCCGTCATCATCTTCCTCATCATGACAACTCTGTACATGTTAAAAAAAAAAGAGGGGGGGACAGGAATACGTTGAGATTTTAGATAGTGCAAAAGAACATTTGACATAGAAGAGCAAATCATTTGTATTATCATCAACCTTGTTTAAATGTAAGATAGAATACTTAGATGATAGAATCAATGAATTCATGACATGAAAGAAAATTATACATAGTGCTTTTACAAAAATAAAATATTAGATTACATATTTTATAGGTAACAGAGATAACTATGAGGTCCATATCATACTACACCTGCTACTTATTCATACATTGGCCTCATTCAAACCAAACTGCAAACCTTAAAAGGATTGCTTTTCTCTTTTTTTCTTTATGCTGCCATTGCAATGCATGAATACAGGCAAATATAATAACCATTAATAAAAATTAGGCCGGGCAAGGTGGCTCACCCCTGTAATCCCAGCACTTTGGGAGGCTGAGGCGGGCGGATCACCTGAGGTCAGGAGTTCGAGACCATCCTGAACAACATGGTGAAACCCCGTCTCTACTAAAAATACTGGGCGTGGTGGCGGGTGCCTGTGATGACAGCTACTTGGAAGGCTGAGGCAGGAGAAAGGCGTGAACCTGGGAGGTGGAAGCTGCAGTGAGCCAAGATCATGCCATTGCATTCCAGCCTGGGTGACAGAATGAGACTCGATCTCAAAAAAATAAAATAAAGAAAAAAGAGTCTGAAAAATAATATGCTTTTAATAAATCTCAGCTGCTTTATTATTATGGTCTGTAATATAATAGTGACCAAAAGAAATTGGTCATTAACCAATAGCCATAGTAGGAAGAAGCCTACAGCTCATTAAAGTTAGATTGTTCTAACCCTTATATGTATTTCTTCCGCTTGGTAAGCATTCAGTGTTTCCATGGGGTGTATGAAGGCAGATAATGAAATATAAGCTACAAATCATAAAAATACTTTTATTTCAATTAGACACAGTACTCTGGGCATGGAGATGAACTGGGGATGGAAGGGAAGGTAAACAATGTGACCCTTCCCACCACTCCATGATAAATTCTAAAAGGTTTATCATATTCTTTCATTCATTCAACAAATACATACTGAGCACCACCCTTTCTGTTTATAATGATAGGCATATGAGCATAGTTTGCAAAGGAGGAAATAAAGGTGGGAACGCAGGCCTAGGACAGTTTCACTGTCTGGTTAAGATGTCAAACTGCATGTTTCATCACAAAAGCAAAGATATTAATGATTCACTCAGAAAGCAGGAAATGTTCTACTGTAAGTTTCTGTTACTCTGTTATTAGTTATTAGTTACATGTTATTACATGTTATTAGTTAGCCAGGATTTAAAAAAATAAGAACTCATGAGAACTTTAGCAAAACAGATTTGGAAGGCAAATCTGCAGTCTTCCATCAATACATACTGTATATCTACTGTCGAAAACAGAGCAATTTTGCTTAGCTGCTCCTTAAGACCTACCTATTCTAACGTCTCCCATTATTCCCAATGATTAGTAATGTATATTAGTAAATAGGAGTAAGAAGTATAGGAATTTTATCAGATAACAAGCATGCTTACTCTCTATGCAAATTAGAATACTAATATAAAATGTCTCAAGGATATGAAATTTTACATTTTCTCAAAGACATAAGCTTCTATAAAAATTTCATGACCTTCAGAAACATAGGAGGAACACAAGGTTTGAAATAAAGAATACATTCAGAAAAATTATTATTTGGGATTATAATGATATGTTTTTAAGTTATAAAACTCATAAGCCATGTTTGCTTTTGTACAAAGGAATGATCCATTTAAAGCAGTAGCTGAAAAAAAAAAGTTTTATAAAAAAGTATTTTGAAATAAAATATTTTTAACTGTTTTTTAAAAAATCTTCCAAGGAAAATTTAATGAGATTTGATCCTAATGAAGTTAAAAATCTGTGATTTTTAAAAACTATTAAACCTGAATTTACTTGGTGTATAGACTATATATTACAAATTCATCAAATCTATAAGAACTACTTTAAACTTCTAATTAGCTTGAGAATATGCTAAGATCACAAACAAATGGTTATCAGATGTCTAGCAGCTTTTGAATATACTGTAGAGAAACAGAAGGATTTGCTGGAACAAAAGATATGTTCTTCAATAGCAAATGGCATCCATGTGACATAGATGGTAATGCTAAGCAAATGGGAAGTTATATTAGACAGCCCTGTAGCAGGATTTGGCTTTCTGGATCAGAATGCTAAGTTCTAGACAAGGAAGAGTCATTCCTTGGCCAGGAAGGAAAAGGTGAATAAGCTAAATACATAAAGGGGCAGGCGTGGAATAAATAATTTAGAAGAAAAAAATAAAATGGAGGACACTTCAAACCATTCAGGTATCCACAACAGAATTCAAAACTGGCAACACGAATGCATAACAGATTAACGAGGGATCTTCAGCTTGTCGGTATCTGCTGAAAAGTTCATTCTGCCAGAGAAGTATATTTCATGCATTCCTTTGACTTTCTGATTTGATAACTCCATAGAAGACTAAGGAATCAAAACCCAGAAACTTTCAGTGTGGATTTCAATCTGACTAACAGAGAACTCATGGGTGAGACAGAAGAGAGAAACTCATAAGAATGTGACCGCAGCATTTTATACTTTTAACCAAGAAAGAATGGAACCCTGGGCATAACAACGTGTATCTTAAATATTTTTTAAAAGTTAGTCAGAGAAGGAGTAGAACTAGGAGGAAAGGGAAACTCAAAAAAGTAGCTGAAAACTCAAAACAGTAGCAACATTGTTGAGTGTTTATGATATCATTGCAGGTATCTTCCTCCACACTGTTACCGATTCAAATTGGTAAAACCACCACTAGGGTGAAGCAGCTTCAAATAGCCCAAGAGGGATGACAGCTAGTAAAGAGACATTCTAAGGAATTAAGCAGGGTAGGCATAATGCAGACAAAAAGGGGTGGCAACAGCAAACAGATGGGATGCACTGAAGTTCTCCATAGGACTTTTTAAAGAGGAGGTATATATGATAGGAGTAGGGGAATGGAATTTAGAATGAAGTGTGGCTTGAAAAATACAAAGATGTAAAATGATTTTTCAAATTATCGCCAAAGTATGGTCAACAAAGAGCAGTAAGTACATGATTTAGAGCAGATGCTGTACTCATCATAATAGAGAGGACGTGCAGAACCACTCGTCAGCTCTTTTGTTTCAGAAAGAAGTGATTTTTGGAATACAGAAAAGTACCTAGCCAAGAGAAATGAAAATCATGACTCCAGCAAAATACCATTTCATATCCATTTGGTTGACAAAAGTCAGTAAGTCATATATCAAATATTGGAGGGGGTGTGGATCATCAGAATCTCTCTTAACTGTTGTTAAGAATGTCCATTGATGCAATAACTTTGGAAAACAGTATGACATTTGTTCCTTTACTTGAAAATGTGTACACTCTGTAGCTGTTGCAAAACAGGTGAAATGGATAAGAATAGGCATTCAATCCCTGTTCGCATTAGCAAAAACATAGAGGCAATACAAAAGTCTATCAACAAAAAAGGTAAATGGATAAGCTCTGGTATATCTGCCCAATAAAAACAATAAAAACAAACGAACTCCAACAGCACACAAAAGTATGGAGGAATCTTAGGAAACACTATTAATCCAAGAAGTAGAGTCCAAAAGATTATACACAGCATACTACCCTTTTAAAAGTCAGTAACAATTTAAATTATATATATATATGAAAATGTATCTATGTATATATAAATAAATGAAAACTATATGAAAAGAAAAGCAAGGGCATCTTGAGCACAAGGTTTAGAATGATGGTTTCTTTGTGTGGGGAGACAGGGTATGGGTTAATGAGAAGTCTGTAGGATAACATGTAAATTCTCTAGGTTGTTTCTTGTCGGGGGTGGGTATACGGGTAGTTACTACATTATTAGAAATGACTAAGTAACTTTTAAAAAAGTAGACACTAGTGGACGAACAATGAGTGTGTATCATGAATCCAGAGTTATGATTAACCCAACTCTGTGTTCCTAAGCTTAAAAAGCAATGAAACCTGAAAAACAAAAACCTAAGTAAGATATATATGATGCTTTCCAAGGGAACTGCAGTGGTGGAGGAAGATACATACAAGAGTCTCTTAAAGTGAGTGCAAGTCTCAAGTTTCAAGACTCAAAGCAAAAGTAACATCCATGGATGCAGAATGACTGTTGGTAAACTGAGAAACCATGAAGACCAAGAGAAAGTTCCAGAAAACTGGGATGCTAATTTTTAAAATGAGAAAAGATAGCTTCCAAAAACCACCTGCTAGGAAGTTTGATATTAGTAATCAATAATAGTCTAAAACGGTTATCAAGCAAATAATTGAGGAAAACTCATCCATCTTTGGCAGTTTTACCAAAGTTAGAATTCAACTTTAAGCAGTCACAGTAACATCTTGATTTCTTTAAGTATCTCATGAAAGGAGATGAGAAATATGAGTTTTATAAAAGTATGTTTAGATGAATTAAAAATAAGGTAGGTTAACCAGTTTGGGAAAGGGTATAAAAATATCAGCTGCTTACCAAAAACTTAGATAAACAGAGAACTCACTCATACTTATTAAGTTTGTGGTTAATATAAATGGAAAGAGGTAACAGTGGGTGACAGAACCAAATGTTAAAAAGATTTCAGCTTGGGGAAATGGTCTGACTTGAATTAGAGAAATGATGACATATACTTAATTAAAAAATTAAAAATCAACAGTCCAATACAGGGTAGCTGATGTGATCTGGCTAAAAATTTAATGCATTCTTGCCATTGATGGCCAATGTATAAGATCCTAAGGCAGAGTAAGTGAGCGTACAGTCCCCATACACACTACACAGGTAAGGTCATAACTGGAATACCGTGTTTGATTAACTTCTGGGTGGCATATATGAATATAATGGAGAACGTGCAGAGTGTAACAAACTGAGTGGTGCAAGCTGGACATCCCGAGTTACATTAAACAATAAAAGGAATATGATTAGTTAATTATGAAGGGGAAAATCTTGAGGTAAAGAGTCAACAAGATAGCCCTCCTCAAATTTTTGACCATCTATCAAAAGAAACTAGATTTAGCTTCAGGATCCAACAAAATAAATATGGAGGCAAATTCAATTTCACTCGCAAGGAAGAACTCTAACAATCAGAAACAACCTATTCTCAAACCAAGAGCTTCTACGTATTCTCAAACCAGGAGCTTCTACCTGTTCAGCCCACTTCGATTCTTCAGCTGCAGAGAACACCCAGGCCTGGGGCTGCTCTACAACCCTTTCTCGCCTCCCTCTTTCTTCATTTCCTAACAAGCCACCTCCTAGCAATATACAAACCCGCTTTGATCTGCTGTTCTCAACTAGACTCTGGCAGAAATCTGCACCCTTGATGAATCTAACTTCCTGGCTTCTCAGAATTTGCATTTGGTTCTGAGAATTGCTAGTTGTCCTCACACAGCCAGGGGGAGCATGACTGCTTCAAATTCATAGACAACAGCCTAAAATAAACCGGGCTTCCTACACAGTCTGCGAGTCCTATTTTGATTTCTAGCCCATGTGCCATGTCAATTGCCACGATGTGTCTTTCAGTGCTTCTCTCTCTCCTCCAGTCTTCCTCTATAGACTCTACCAAACACTTCGGTGTCAGCGGATGACTGTACTTTTGTCTTCAGAGAGAGAGAGCAAATGACCGTAAAAGGAAACATTTCCAACCTCCCATTATCCTGGCAGCCTTCCCTTCTTCCCTTTGTATCTTTTATCCTTTGTATCTTTTATCTCTTTATCTTTTTTTTTTTTTTGAGACGGACTCTCACCTCATCGCCCAGGCTGGCGTGCAGTGGTGCAGTCTCGGCTCACTGCAACCTTCTGCCTCCCAGGTTCAAGCAATTCTCCTGCCTCAGCCTCCTGAGGAGCCGGGATTACAGGCATGCACCACCATGCCAGGCTAATTTTTGTATTTTTAGTAGAGACGAGGTTTCACAGTGTTGGCCAGGCTGCTCTCAAACTCCTGATCTCAAATGATCCACCTGTCTCGGCCTCCCAAAGTGTTGGGATTACAGACGCGAACCACTGTGCCCAGTCCTATCCTTTTATCTTTTAACCCAGTGTTTATTGAACTAGGTGTTTCAGCTCATCATTCAGACATAAAAACAATTTAGTGATTCATGAAAAAATAAAAACAACTCTTTGTTTAAATAGAATGGAAAATTTCAGACTACATTACTCATAGGAAGAGTAAAATTTCATGAAACTTTTCTTTCATGGTGTATATTTTTATGTTACTTTAAACATACAGTTTTATGTTTCTATAAACATACAGTTGGCCCTCCATGGGTTCTGAATCCATGGAGTCAACCAACTGTGGATAGAAAATATTTGGAGAAAGTAAAATGGGTGATTGTGTCTGTACTGAACATGTACAGATATTTTTCTTGTCATTATTGCATAACAATATGATAGAGTTGAACTACTGACATGGCATTTACATTATATTAGTTATTATATGTAATCTAGAGATGATCTAAGTATACAGAAGGATGTGTGTAGGTTACATGCAAATACTATGCCATTAGTCAGAGACTTGAGCATCCTTGGATTTTGATATCCCACTGGGTGTCCTGGGACCAATCCCCCATGAATGCTGAGAGATGACTGTACCGCGTAAGTGTATTTCTTACTGTAGGTTAGAGTGTAAAATAAATTAGAAAGCCATGGCTTTTCTCTCATGTCCTGTAACCTGTCTTCTCTAGCAGGTCTCATGGACTCCAGACCTCACTTCACAAATGATTCCCTTTCCTATTCTGTTCGCTCCTCAGCAGAATATATGTGTGCTTAGATTGCTCTCTCTTTAAAAACAAGCAAACGAATGGCAAACAAACAAAAATAATCCCCTTCAACCTCACAATTCCATCTAGATATTTATCATCTTATATCTGTCTCTTCTCTCTCAATCTTTGCAATGAAGAAACAACTATACTATTTCTGTTCATATCTGAATCACTAACTTTCCCACACTACAGCACGTCCCCACTCCAGGGCCCCTCTCCACAATCCTCAGAAGCTGTTCTTACTCTGCTCATGTGAAATACATGAAATAAATCTGGAGATTTTCAATCCTTACCTTGCTCAACCTCACAGCAGAATATGATTTTGGTGACCACACACTCAGTCCTATAGCTCCTAGCTCCTATGTTAACTCACACTTAAGGTTCTCTCCGACTTTTTTATGAGCTCCTTTCCTTCTAACCATCTTTAAATGTTCTGTGTCCTTATAGGCTGGGTCCTAGGCCTCCTCGTCTCTTCATGCTATCATCTCTTCCTGGGTACGATCATCTACTCCTACGGCTTCTAATGCTGATAAATCCCAAGTCTATATTTATAAGCCTTACCTGAGATACTGAATGTCAGATGTGGATGTCTAATTGCATGTTTGGCATCTCCACTGAGATGTCTCACAGGCATCTTTAACACATTCACAATTTATTTTGCCGCCTTTTTCTCTCTTCGCTCTAGGCCTGTAATTATTCTGGTGCTGCCATCTCGGTACATGGTACCCAAGTGAGAAGTCTCAGCAAAACCCTGACTCCACTTTTATCTACTTGTCAAGAGGAGTAAATGACATAAACACTCAGTTAATATGAAGCTGTGCTATTTTGCATGGTCAACTCATGGTTCAACAGCCAAAGACTTCCTTAAGCAGACCTCACTGCTATGCCATGGGACCTGTTTCCAATACTCCGAAGAATTTCTTGATATGGTTTGGCTCTGTATCCCCACCCAAATCTTATCTCGAATTGTAATCCCCATGTGTCAAGGGAAGGACATGGTGGGAGGTGATTGGATCATGAGGACAGTTTCCTTCATGCTGTTCTCTTGATAGTGAGTGAGTTCTCACATGATCTGATGGTTTAAAAGTGTTTAAAAGTCCCCCCCTCATTCTCTCTCTCTCCTGCCGCCACGTAAGATGTACTTACTTTCCCTCTGCCTTCTCCATGATTGTAAGTTCCTAAGAGCTCCCCAGCCATGTGGAACTGTGAGTTAATTCACCTTGTTTCCTTTATAGATTATCTAGTCTCAGGTAATTCTTTATAGCAGTGTAAAAATGGACTGATACATTTCTCTACCATTAAATTCATCAGGGTTTTTCTACAACCATTTGCTTAAATGTTATCTTCCCCATCAGACAAAAACCTCCACGAAGGTGTAGTGTGTGCCCTTCTTTCTTCTTCACATGTTATCTCCAATATGTTAATGTCCAGCAAATATTTGTTGAATGAATGAATGTTTAGAAAAAGTTATGGCTCCTCATAAATAAAATGTTTAAGTAGGAAACAACGATGACCTGCCAAGGAATTTAGAACAGAGATTCATGCTACAAACAAAAAGTTGAAATTAATCAAATACACAGATTGTTATCCTTTTCAGATGAAAGTTATTTCCTTTTATTAAAATTAAACATGAAAATCAGGAAGGATATTTATTTACCTTTGCCATAATATCTGCATAGGCCATATATAAAAAATCTTCCTCCAGTTTGCTGGGGAAAACAAGAAGAAAACATCAGTGTTTAGGCAGAAGGCTAGGCACATGCAAACATATCATCACTGTACAAAATAACCTTTGTTCTTTTTCTAACAAGTATCCTTTTTAAAAATTAAATGAACACAAAACTTAGACAATATTAGGATATTCAGATATATCCTGAAATCAGAAAGCAAAGATCCCGGGGATCCTAAATAGCTGTCCCATCTTACCTTACAGAAGGGCCTTCAATTTTCACAAAATAAACTGTTTTTTGGTTTACAAACAAATGTAATAATTTTAATTTTCTTCAGACTACAAAACTTGAAACAAGCAAACTTAAATGAGGCGGGGGCTTTTGACAGAAGTCAAATTTGACATTCGATGGAAAGATTCCCCAAATTACGATGTGACAATTAAAAAACAAGATGGCCATAACAACGATTCCTTAAAATTAAGAAAGGTTAAAATACATTTATTATCTTCTTTTTTGAGACGCATGGAAACCACGACTACGTGAAGAAAAGTATAAATACGCCTAAAATTTGCAAAGTTATTTCAGCAGTTTTAAACTTCAGCCATGAGAAAAATTCACTTATGAGAAATACCTCATTACCTGACAATGCCAGACAGAGAGTTGTTCTATGCTTAGGAATGAGATGATTTTGTTAGTTAGGAAATAATAAGAGAGAGAAATAGTGAGAGAAAGGATGGATCACATTAGCTAAGAGGGAGAAATGTACATTATTATGGCATGCAAAGAGGTCAAATGAACTCTTCTGAGAGATTCATGTGGATATGAGTTTATAATTAAATTACATCCCAAATTCTACAGAGAATGGGAAAGGCCTGGGGCAAAACTGGCTTTCTTTCCCATTGCAGGGCAGCAGATAAAGGTCCTCTAGCCTCTGCTATGTCCCATCTGCACAGCCAATGTATGCGTTGCCCTCCATAATGACAGATACTGAGCACATTTTGACGATCAGGCTAACCAGTGCATTTCTTATGTAACTTCATAGAGGTTTGCCCTTTGTGGCTTTGGTGAATTCATATGACTAAGGCTGCAGAAGACAAGAAAAATGGGCAATGCCCTGGAAATAGATCTCAGAGATACCTCCAAGTTGAGGTGATGGCTCACTTAGCCTCTAGAGGTTTCCTAAGACCCACTGCACAATGGAGACACTATCTACCCAGAAAATTTTGGGGTCACCATCGGTCTCCATATACTTGTGGCACTGGAATTTGCTTTGGTTCTTTTGTTTTATTTATAAAGGCTGTTTGTGATAAGGAGAAAAACCATTTCATAAGAAGAATCAGAATCAACTACATCATTAATTACAAAGTTGTTAAGAAAAACTAGAGCTAGTAGGTAGTTGCTAAAGCCTACAATTGAATGAGTGTCCATCCCTAGGTACATGCCAGGCTGGTTGTTATCTTTGAACAAGTCTCTCTCCTAACAACATCAAGATGAACTTAAAACATAAACACGTGGCACAGAATACTCAGATACAGGTTTCTTTATTTGTTCCTCCTATGTCTCATAGGAACCCTTCCAACCATACCATTTCTCTGTTAAAGCTGTCCGACTAAACAGAAGGATCAGCTGATGTAGAGGATCAACTCTCTTAGTGCCTTCATCTTCTTCTGGAGGGTCAGCCCCAGGTTTCTGCAAAAAAGTCAAATTTATAAAATGTCACATTTAAAAAAAAATGTTCACTCAAATCCAAAAGCAATGTGAAGGCCAGGAATGAAGAACAAAAGGAATGCAAACACTCCTCCTTCCCTGTTGTGGGGGTGTGTGTGTGTTTGTGTGTGAGCATGTGTGTGTATTTTATATGCATTATACACGCTATATATGTATATATGTGTGTATGTGTATATAAAAGCATGTATGTATATGTGTTGCAGGTAAATGTAAATATGTAATATATATACTAAACATATATAAATGTAATATAATATGCTAGATATCTGTTACAGTATCATTGTAAAATTATACAGCTTGAAACAGAGATATTTAATAATTTGACCAAAAAATAATATGAGCAAGGATAACTTATAGCATTTAAAAATACTAAATTCTATTCTTATAAGCATTTTCATAACTCAAAGTATATTTGCTACATGGATTTCAGCTTTAGGGAGGGCTCGATTTACAAATATTTGCAATAAAATCCTAAGAGTCACCCCAAGTGTGAAAATTTAGTTCCCATAGCAGTGCAAATTGCTTATAAAGTGAAACATTTTCTTTGCTTACACACAGCATGATAGGTAAATAATACTAAATGAGTTAATGCTTGAAACACTTATACTTTTTTCCTTATTTTCAAAAGTTACTTTTAAAACTTAAAAAAAAATTTTACTGTCAGATAGAACTTTAATAGTGAGGAAAATTATTAAGCATTTTTATTGGCAGTAGAATTCAATTACATCCAACTTTTTGTTGAGTTTTATATCTCCACTGACTTACCCATGGAAACTGATTTTCTCTCTACATGAATGGTGTTCTTTCCTGTAATTAAGCCTTAATGTGGATATGAGGCAGATTTCCACAAGATATCCAATAGTCTACATATTTTTTACTCTAAAGACAGATAAAACTCATTTTAAAATATAGGGACAATCAAGATTAGGCTTTTAAGAATTAGATTAGTTTATCCATTCTATTCCCTAATAATCTGTAAGTTTAAAAATAGCTTTTAGACAAGATGTCTTTACTCTTGAGAATCATGAAGCCTCTGACTAGTCTGCCAAGTTTTGAGATGGCTTGTAAATTTTCTTGAGAAGATGGCTTTTGTCAGATATTTAAATGGGTCCATCACTTAGAACAGATGATACTGACTGCTGTTCTGTGCTGAACTCTCAGTACACAAGCTCTTTATCAGCACGGTCGGGTGAAAATTCTATTTCTCATGTTCCACATTTACCACACCTTCCACCTGTCCTGCGTTCAGTCTATCATTCTCTGCCCTGTTGATTTTTAAAAACCAGCAACTTTTTGTTCACCTTCTACTTAATTTTGGTGGATAACTTCTTTACAGTTCAGTCTTTTATAGTTTATCCTGGTTCTCAGGTGTTTATAGGTGCTTTGAGAAGGAATTTAAAAGAATGAGTAAATCAGGTTTAATTAATAATACACTTATATTATTCATTTTAAATTCTCAACCCCTTGATGTTGATGAGATCTCTTGGAAATGACAAGAGCATAGTTTCCCATAAGCATTGAATGCAGCAACAATTAAGATTTATAAGTTTCCTAATGCCCATATACTGTCATGATATTTTTTTCCTTCAATGTTATATAATGACTGCTCACACCAACATTGCTGCACCAAGCCCAGACCCTCTTTCCTCTCAGAACCCCTTTAAAAACATACTGCTAAATCTTCTATCAGTTTATCTTCAAAGTAATGTTCTTCTGTTTCAATCCAAGACTTTTCATATCCCTGAAGAAAGAGATTGACAGCCCGATGCCTAAAAGGTAAGCACAATTTCAGAAAAAGGGGAGTTTAGAAAATAAGTTGAAATTGTATCGAGTAGTGCTTTACTACTAGATTATCTGTGCACTAAAATTGTAAAATAAAAATAAATTCCCTATTCTTGATTTTCCTCCTGAAAGACAATGCTTCTTGCAGCAAACAGAGCAAGGTGTCTTAGAGCACACGGTGACTCGCATTTAAATCCCGGCTCAGTCATTTCCAAGCTCTGTAACGTTGGTCAAGTGATTCAACTTTCCCAAATTTCAGTTTATTCCTTTATAAAAGTAGGATAACTCCAACCACATTTCAGTTTTGTAAGCCTTACAATGAGATAAACGATGTAAATCACATCCGTTAGATGTTCATTAAATGATGACTATTGTTATACAACATGTCTCTCAATAAGCAATGTAATCAGTGTCAATAGAGAAGTTAGTCTCTGTTTAAGCAAACATTAAAAACAAATGGATGGCCCTGAGGATTCCAAAACAAAAGCTATTGAGTGAACTTTATGGGAGTACATATTCAAAGATTAAACCCTGCACTACTGATCATAAATGGCCGCCTATGAAAAAAGACCAGTGAAGACGAGAAGAATCAGTGAAATTCATGATGTAGTAAGAGATGTGGATAAGATGTCAATGTAAGAAAGGATAAAAGAATGTCATGAAGGGAGCATCATAAAACAACAACAGATGTGAGAGAACGAGAGATGGTGCCATTGCAGGAGAGAGGAAAGCTGAGTTTTATGATAGCAAACTGGGTTAAGGGCTCATGAGACCTAACGGTTAGATAGGTTTGTGAAGGGCCTTGAAAACCAGAGAGGGTAACTGCCAATGCAGCCAGAACTGCTGGAAATCATCAGACATTCTTGTACGTGAGAGAGGCATGCCAAAGCACGGACTCAGCCTTTTTGGTTTATTAGAGTCACCTGTGTAGCTTTTAAGTAGCACATGCTGGGCTCTCATTGAAATTCTAATTAATAAGTTGAGGCCTGAATACTTTTTAAATGAGTTTACGTGTATTTCTTAAAAGCACCAGGTTGGGGAACCATTGGAATAAACGATACCGTTTTGAAAATGACATTTTGGAGAAGACGGAAGAACTCTATGACATCACAGAAACTAACTCAGAAACCACTGCCATCAACTTGATATGAGTCAAGGAACAAGTGACTTGAAGAGGTGGTGATGGAGGGAAGGATGGGAATGTGAAGTAGTTCAAAGGGAAACTGATGAAATCTGGGCAACGACAGTATAGGAGTAACTAAAAAGAAATGATAATGTGAATTCAAAGTTAATATTCTTTTTTTTTTTTTCTTTCATTAAGTTCTGGGATACATGTACAGAACGTGCAGGTTTGTTACATAGGTATACATGTGCCATGGTGGTTTGGCTGCACCTATCAAACCCATCTTCTAGGTTTTAAGCCCCACATGCATTAGGTATTTGTCTTAATACTCTCCCTCCCATTGCCCCCCACCCCCCGACAGGCCCCAGTGTGTGATGTTCCCCTCCCTGTATCCATGTGTTCTCACTGTTCAACTCCCACTTATGAGTGACAACATGTGGTATTTTATTTTCTATTCCTGTGTTAGTTTGCTGAGAATGATGGTTTCCAGCTTTAACCATGTCCCTGCAAGGGACAAGAACTCATTCTTTTTTTATGGCTGCATAGTATTCCATGGTGTATATGTGCCACATTTTCTTTATCCAGTCTATCATTGATGGGCATTTGGGTTGGTTCCAAGTCTTTACTATTGTGAACAGTGCTGCAATTAACATACATGTGCATGTGTCTTTATAGTAGAATGATTTGTAATCCTTTGGGTATATACCCAGTAATAGGATTGCTGGGTCAAATGGTATTTCTGGTTCTAGATATCAAGGTTAATATTCTATTGATCAAAAGGTGACAGCATAATTGAGTCAGAGAATTGAGAAGTAGCACATTTGAGGAGGATGCTAATACATTTTAGACCCAGTGAGTGTGACATGATAGCAAGAAATACAACTGTCTCAGCAAAAGGGAAAAGTATGATGTTTCATCTGTTTGCTTTGCTTCTGTTTCTTTTTTTTTCTTTGCCTTACACATTCACTCAAACTCTTACTGAATGTCAATGTACAATTCACTGTTCTAGGTGCTAAGAAAATGGAACAAAACTAGTACGGAATCTCAAAGTCTGAATCAAAGAGACAGGTAGCCTTAATACTGTAGGAAAGTGGTATGATGTGCAAGGAGTAGAAGGGCATGGCTTGGTCAGAGATGTTCCACAAAAGAGATGTAGCTGAGCTGAGTCCTGTTTACAGGACATAGAAATGATGCAATTTGTATAAAGTTCAGAGTGGGAAAGAGCATAGTTTCTCAGGAGGACTATAAGGTGGCTGAAATGGTACCCTGGACCACCTCAGTCAGACTTGAATGTACCAGGCTACTTCTCTATTAAGTATGTCTGCTCTATGTCTAAGAGAAGGTTGATGGGCCTGTCAAATCTTTTTACGTTATTCCCAATAAGTCACTTCTTTTCCCCAAATGCTAATAATTACAAAAATAATAATAATGACTAACATTTATCATGATATGAACTTATTATCTCACTTCTAAGCACTCTGTATACATCAACCCATTAAATAATCTGAACAACTCTATGAGGCTGATCCCATTATGATACAGATGAGAAAATTGTAAAGAAAGTCAGTAAATAACTTGACCAATGTCATGGGTCAGAGAAGTTGGGAGGTCAGAATTCAAACCAAGACAAGTCTGATGCCAAAGAATGATTGAAATCATGGTCTGATTCAAATCCAGGCCAAAGAATGATCTCCCAATGACTCTCTCTTGCCTCACATATGTGAGCAGATATTCCTCAGTAAGCATCATTTAGTAATTACATTATAGACCACAGTTCTCTGAAAATATCCAACAAAATTAGTCAAGTTTTAGGTAGAAGAATCAATAAAGCTTTTCCATCCTTCTCTTGGACTATTGTACCCCTATTAAGGTAGATTCTAAACACCTGTCACTTACTAGGAAAAAATAACATTGATCTATTATAAAAAGTAAAATAATTCTGACCTTGGCAGATTATATAAGGGGGCCATCCGGAAGCAGGCGACAACAGCTCTTTTCCTCTGCTTGGAGAGTAGTTTATGCCATACAGCCTTTTTAGATCTCTGAGGATGTTCCACCTGAGGTAGAATGACACAAATAAATATTTACACCCCAAACTACCTTCAAAAATAAATAACTATTTATACCCCAAACTATCTTCAAAAATATAGTATTAAACAGTTGCCCCTCTTAAGTAACCTATATTTGGAATTCCAATTCCAAAAGTACCTTAAGATTATCATGGAGAAGTCCATATCCTAAAAGTTACCCAGAGATAAAGTTTAGATAATTGCAAATGCTATATAATTCCCTTAGTAAGAATACCACATTTTCCCAATACTGTGTACTTCCAAGCTATGTCATCTCTAAAATCAAAGAAATAGAAAATCATTCCAGATAAAATCATTTTATCACCTTCTCAAAATTTTCTTTGGTTCTTTATGATTCTAATACATATTTTCTGCCTACAGAAAATATTACCTCATTCTTATTTACGTATCCATTGTAACTGTAATTTTATAAAGAGCTAAAGTAATAAACACAAATAGAGACAGTTAATAAAAATTCTACTATTCTTTAATATAGCAGGATAAAGAGAAGAAGACAATGCTTTGTGAACACAGTATTAGGAGTGAGTAAATTTGGTAAAAATGTTAAAATATGTAAATATTTTGTTAGAGAGGGACAAATATAAATTCAAAAGTTGCAATAAATGATGCAAGCAAGTTATTTATATAACTAATAGTGTTTGGAACTCCAAGAGAAGAAAGAGATTAATTGTATTAGAAAGAAAAAATCCCAACATATAAACCTAAATTAATTAGTAATCTCTAGGCCATTGAGCACAGTACTTCCCAGACAGTAATGTCTCCGACCCACACGTTTAGACTTCTGAAAGAAATAAAAATGTTATGTTAGCTAAAAAAGTAAAACTACATTCATTATTCTTTGCAGTAAAGAGTCAAAAATGATTGTAATAATATCTGAAGTAAACATTTAAAATGTTTGGGCTGCAATGGTTTAGAAATTTTAACAAAGCAACATGTTTAATGGAAAAGCACTTATTTCTGTGATGCTCTTCCCTCTCTAGGATCAATAAACACGTTTTGACAATTATCCACTTCAATTATCTTCTTGATGCTTGTGTCAAGTGAAATAAACCAATGTTATGCCTTAACATCAAAGTAAAAGCAATCAAGGGCAATAGTTTTCAATGAGACCCAACATATTTCAATTTAAATTTCCATTTTGAGATCCCAGTCTGTAGACGATGACTTTTTGCAGGAATTACAGCATTATGGTCGGCATGGGTGACAGTCAACAAACATATATTAAGTTCCTAAGGCATTTACGATACAGTAAACATCACAACAGAAAGGGTTCCTGCCACCAGGAAGCTTATCATTTGGCAGGCATTTATTACCTGCCTATTCAAGCATTTCAGGAAATACCTGAAACAGTGTGCTTTCCTCTAAATCAATCATAATAGTTATCTGTAAGATATGTGATCCAAAGGCGAACACCAAGATGTATCTTGTAACTCTGTCTGAATGTCTTGATGTGCTGATGTGTTAGCTTGGCTAGAATTTGATTATTAGAAAATTCAGTGGAGAAAACCTACTCTCATAAGAAACATTACCAGATATACAACACAAAATATACATCTAAAACAGGCCGCTGATACTTGAGATAAATTAAATCAACAAGTGTTTCCTGTCCACCTACTGTTTTTACACTGAGTTTTGCAAGTTAAAATATTCTTTACACGCTCCTCTGTGACTCAGTTACATGTTATCATTAGCATGGGGATAGTAAAGGCATAAATTAAACACACGGATATCTCCCACTGCTTTTTATTTTTGATAATCGACAATTTCTTTTTACTCAAAACCCTCCTCTCATGATAAACCAATCTTGCCATATTCTTAACAGTTTGATAAACTCTGATCCTCCCATCTTTTTCTAGATAATTCCTACCGTAAGATTTATACAGGGATTACCTAGTTCATATCTACATTAAGTTTGAGTTGCTTCTATGCTTTCTTCAGCACATTTTATATCCTAACACCTCCATATCATCGCATATTTATCTGCTTAAGTGTCTGTTTCCTCTGTTACAGCACTCAGTCCTCCAGATCTGGTGGGGCTAAGGCTGCCCTAGGACAGGGCACTCCATAAACATCCAAGGCATAAATGGATACTTAGAAAAGTGAATCTCATTTGAGAAGTGCCATCATTCATCATGATTGGATATATTTATGAATATATGGGAATATAATAAAATAGAATCAGAGTTCAATAAGCTTCATTTAATGTATCTAGAATTTATTCAAGCAAATCTACATATATGTATAAACACTAGGAAGAATTAAAAACTGATGGTAGAGTAACGCGGTCCTCTCGTAGCCGTTTAATTAACCTTTAATAATCTTAAATATATATATATAATTCTGGAGATATAACTCCATGACTGTATATAAATCCCTTAAAATTTCATTACAAGTCTTGTCATCTGCTGATTGATGATAATTTGTATTTAATATTTCATGAAAACATTATGTAAGTTATTCTGGGGGAAGTATTAGTTCCAAGGCATTAGATACTGTAAATATATGTTAATAGCCATAAGGCCTAAGGGTATCCTAGTGACTTTAATCTCATCAAGTGTAGTGATAAATTGCATGGCAATAGAGAAATTATTAACGTTTGGGGGAGGGTATCTGAGTAAGCAAGAAGGAAATTAAAGGATACTATATTAGACGATATCTTTGCATTATTAAACTGTCCAGGGCAAGGGTGAGGGTTCAGATAATATAAAATAGGAATACAAGCAAAATGTTTATTATTGCTATGATAATATGTCCAAATATGGCTAAAGGCAATACAAAATCATACACACACACACGCGCGCGCACACACACACACACACACACACATATATTTAGGTGGCAAAGTTCCTGAGATGGCATACGACCTCTTATTATTATTTCATATTTGGTATAAAATAACCAAGTCATCAACAGTATGATCTGTCATAAGAGCCCTGACAGATCAATGGTCAGATTACAATGAGCTTCTTCACTATGTGATTATTTTGCTGAATGGACTTGATGAGAAATAGATAATATATCTCTGTGTTGCAGATATTTTACCTAAGCCAGGCGATCCCTTCTATAAAAATATGACCCTCTGATTGATAATGTTTCAAGTATTCTTGTTTTACACATTCTTGTGCAAAGGTAATGAATAAGAATATCAAACTCAGCTTTGTAAAGTAGGACACAACTGAAAAAATTTATAAAAACACTTTTCTTACATGATTTTAATATCTATCAATGCATTGTTCTTCTCTAAGTGTAATTTGTTCCTGATTTCAGAGAAAATTAGCTCAAAAATATACCTAAGAAAAGGCAAGGTTAAACAAGTGACAAAAAAGAAAATATTGCCGGGCGCGGTGACTCACGCCTGTAATCCCAGCACTTTGGGAGGCCGAGGCGGGCGGATCACAAGGTCAGGAGATCGAGACCACGGTGAAACCCCGTCTCTACTAAAAATACAAAAAATTAGCCGGGCGCGGTTGTGGGCGCCTGTAGTCCCAGCTACTCGGGAGGCTGAGGCAGGAGAATGGCGTGAACCCGGGAGGCGGAGCTTGCAGTGAGCCGAGATCGCGCCACTGCACTCCAGCCTGGGCGACAGAGCGAGACTCCGTCTCAAAAAAAAAAAAAAAAAAAAAAAAGAAAATATTTCAAATATTAAACCAATAAAAGATAATATCTCATACATGTTTTTATGAGCAATAATAAAAAATGAAGTATGCATAAAGTATTTGAAATCAGATGTAACTCCTGAATTTTTTGGTTAGAATACTTTAAATATATAATCCTAATATTTTTAGAAATATTTGAAAAAAGGCAATAAAACAAAGGCCAGGATCTCCCAAAATATATAATCTATATATTGCTACAAGAATTATAAGCTTAGAAATTGTCTTCATGAAATACTAAGCACACCTGACTCTTATTCTTTAGAACGAATATGCTGAACATATATGTTTTTTGGGTCATAGTTAACAAATCAACACACATTCTCTTTTTAAAATATTTGTATGTGGCTAAGGCAAATATGACTGAATTGACACAAAGCCTGACCTGTTCAAGATGAAAAAGCACATTTGCTATATCCAATACTCTTTCTACCGTCTTCTCTGGATCTGAGGTATCATCAGTCCTGTTTGGCAAGTCTTTGTAAAGAGCCATTTGCCATCTAATAGCAGGATCCTCCAACTGCAGGAAAAAGGAAAAGGTTACAATGGGAAGATGGGAATCTAAAAGACAAGGTTACAATCTCAAGATGGGAAGAGTCCACCCACCATTATTTATTGGGCTTTACAGTGTTTACTAGTTAAAACGTGACGCGCAGCAGCAGTTATGTAGGATGAACAGGTCTGGAGATCTAATGTACAGCATGGTGATTACAGTTAATAACATTGCAATTCATACTGGAAATCTGCTGAGAGTAGATTCCAGGAGCTCTTAGCACATACACACAAAAGGTAACTCTGCGAGGAGATAGATATGCTAATTTGTCTGACTACACCAATCATGTCACTATGTTTATGCATATTGAAACATCCTGTTGGACACCTTAACTATGTACAATTATTAAAAATCAAAAATACTAAGAGAGAAAGACAGATAAAGTCCTGGTCATCATGAAATTTATCATCTATTAGAGAAGATAGACATTAAACAAATATTTATAATTGTGATAAGGGCTACTAAAATGAAATATAAAGTACCATTAGATTTATCCTACTCTTTGGTGGTTGGGGAGATTTCCCTTAACACAAGACGTTGTAACTAGGGCTTAAGGATGAGTGGGAAATTGGAGAACAAAATGGGTAAGGCTACCCTCGCTCTTTCTCCTCCCCATTCACAGTCTAATTGTAGAAAGATTTCTATGTTTACTTTTATCGGCAAGCATATAGGATAGCATTTACCTATAAATATTTGGACTCTACAACAGAGTTTAATTTCGCTAAGACAAAGATATTAAATTATATAAATCAATAGAGGTTGTTAAAATCATACTCATCATAAAGGAGTCTACACATTTCACTTTTCAATACCATCAAATTTCCTCGGTGAAAAATGTATATGAAATCTTCATGTTTTTTAGAAACATTATTATAAGTCATAGAAATTGACAAAAGCAAGCAACTTCACAGGGATAGAACATATCAGTTCAAAGAAATAATATACAATAAGTATGTTATTAAAAATGGACAAAGCAGCCAGGCACAGTGGCTCACACCTGTAATCCCAGCACTTTGGGAGGCCAAGGCAGGTGGATTACTTGAGGTCAGGAGTTTGAGACCAGCCTGGCCAACATGGTGAAACCTCTTCTCGATTAAAAATACAAAATGTTAGCCGGGCATGGTGGTGCACGCCTGTAATCACAGCTACTCAGGAGGCTGAGGCAGGAGAATCGCTTGAACCCAGGAAGGCAGAGGTTGCAGTGAACCAAGATTGCGCCACTGCCCTCCAGCCTGGCTGACAAAGTGAGACTCCATCTCAAAAAACAAAAAACAAACGAACAAACAAAAATGGACAAAGCAATCCCCATGTCTTTTCTTCCACTTTAGAATCTCCATTATGGGAGACTGAATGTTTTGAAGCAGAAATAGAAAACATCTAAAACTTCACAACTCCCAGACTGAGAGTGCATAGTTCAAAATGTCAAAAATAACTTTCATCTACAGGCAAACACAGACAGATAGAGCTTTGTATATAAATGACTTGTAAAGACTACTTATCCTTTGATAAAATAAAATGTTTTCATCCGTATACTTTTTAAGTCTGAGGACTATGTTTGATACTTACAGGTTTTAATCTGTACTCTTAGTTCTATTTAATACATAAACATAATTAATAAGGTAGAATCTTTATTCTAACATAAAATTACTCCTCTGGCCTCAGGATGAATAGCCCTGTAATTTCAAGACAATGTATTCAAGAAGTTAGGAATAAAAAAATTCATTTTTTGAAAATCTGTGTATCTCAATATGCCTGCCTAACTCCTAGTGTAAGAGAGTGTAGAATAAAATGACATGATGAATATTTATTCATTACCTCTTTATTTTCAGGCCTTATTCATTTGGAGGTGAAATACTGACGATCAATGTTTCCTTTTTTGCTCTCTTCCTTCTTCCTCTCTCCCTAACATGTCATCTAAACTGTGCAAAGTATTCTTACAAGTGACCTTTAGAATATAATGGACAAACCTTTTTCTGCTTATCATCATAAACCCCCTTATTTGACCATTTCTTGAGATTGGGCCAGACTCCTCTTAAGAGGTACTGAGCACTCTCTGTCCCTAACTCAGTAACTGTTGAACTAGATAATGGTGCTCCAAGCGTGGTCCAGGATCCCCTGGGGATCTCTAGCACCCTTTCATGGGGTACTTGATCTTCTCAAATACCCATGTACGTAAAAACATTTAACGTCTCTCCCTAAAGAGGAAAAATGTTTGTAGTGTAAACTCTTCTTCTGAAGTTCCAATAGAGGCTTTATAAGCTTTTAAAAAAATGTTCAAATTATTCTGGCTATCTGAAAAGAGATCATACTCTAATAGTAATTAATCTCACTCTAAAAGAATTGTTAGTAAACAACTGAGTACACATCAAATTTCACATGAAATTTGCTCTAAATAAATATTTGTGCATTGTGAATATGGTAAAGGCATGTCTCACCTTCATATTATTCTTTAAAATGCTAATTTAAAAAGAATTTGATTTGGATCTTTGAAAAGAGACATTTTAATACCCAGAAAGGCATATATTATATTGTTGTTGCTACTTTTTGACATTCGCATATTTTCATAATTTAAAAAATTCCTGAGAAGGGACACCAGAATAGAAGACAACAGGCTGAGTCAAAATACCAGCTTGACTTTTAAAACTGCATCACAGGTTTTATAAATAAATGAATAATTTATTCGCTGATATACAAGAATTTCCAAATAATAGTAAATGGTCACTGGATTGCCGAAACTACTTCTAACAATTCTTTCACCCACCATTAAAAAGTAGGTGTTATATAGATTTCCATCCATGTTTTTATTCTAAATGTACACTCTTCTCTTCTCCTTAGGTAAACTCATTTATTCCTATTAATGCAAATCTCGATATAGCCTTTTGATATAGTTTGGATCTATGTCCCTGCCCAAATCTTATGTTGAAATGCAATCCTCAGTATTGGAGATGGGGCCTGGTGGGCACCGAGTGGATCATGGGGCAAATTTTTCATGAGTGGCTTAGCAGCATCCCCTTGGTGCTGTCCTTGAGACCGTGAGATCTGGTTAAGTGTGTGTCACCTCCCTCCTCACTGCTCTTGTTCCTGCTCCTGCCAGGTGAGATGCCTGACTCTCTTTCACCATCTGCCATGATTGTAAGCTTCCTGGAGCCTCCCCAAAGGCAGATGCCCATGTTACACTTTCTGTACAGCCTGCAGAACTGTGACTCATTTAAACCTCTTCTCTTCATAAATTACCCAGTCTCATATTTCTATATAGCAATGCAAGAATGGCCTGATTCACCTATAGACTAATGACTCTTAATATATATATATTTAATTACTGATCACTTCATGTAAATTTTTTGTTTTTTGAGACAGGGTTTCCCTTTGTTGCCTAGGCTGGAGTGCAGTGGCATGATCTTGGCTCACTACAACCTTCGCCTCCCAGGCTCAAGCTATCCTCCCACCTCAGCCTCTCAAGTAGCTGGGACTACAGGTGTGTGTAACCACCCAGCTAATTTTTGTATTTTTTGTAGAGATGGGGTTTTGCCATGTTGTCCAGGCTGATTTTAAACACTTGGGATCAAGTGATCCACCTGCCTCGGCCTCCCAAAGTGTTGGGATTACAGGTGTGAGCCTCTGTGCCTAGCCAACATTTTCTTATAGACACCTGTCTCTGTGTCCAAAAGACCCTAAAACCCATCTATCAAAAGAATACATCCAATCTGTATTTCAACTGGTGATATATATTTTTTCCAAAATTTGACCAACATCTGGTAATTTTCTTCAAAAATATATCATTTATTATCTTTAGAATTTTTAATAGAAAAGGCTTTGCAAGTAGGATAATGACTAATTAAAATACGTCCATTACCTTAATGTTTAAAGTAACATTATTTGTAGTACTATTTTAAAGAGAGATTAACTAATGTATAAATAGTAAATGTGGCTTAAGAATAAAACTTGGCTTACCTTGCCTTGTAAATGAATATTGCTGCGGATTATATCTCGTACTTCATCCTCAGTATCTTTCTGTCAAGAAATATATGTTACCTAAAAGGAGTCTTATATTGCATCAACTGTCACAAGTCAATAGAAGCAATCCAAACCTTTTTTGAAATAGTATATGTCTAAGAAACACCTTTATAAAATTACATGCCACAAATTTGGCATGTAATTATTGAAATAATTTCTTGAGACTGCTGTAGCCAGAAGCAAGGTAATGACCTGCTTTACCTCCACAGTAAGGACATTAAAATTCAATGGAATCAAGTTTCCAATTCATAACAAGAAGGGGGTTTTCTTGGACTGAAATAGAAGTATATCTCCAGTATTCTTCCAAATCTCCACAAAGTCAGTTTAGCCCTTAATAACATCCTCCATGACCTAGTAATAGCGAGGGAAATGCAACTGAGAATGAAACTCTAGAGAACTGCCAATAGAGCTGTGTGATGCAGCCCACTCCCACAGCTTCCCCTCAATTCACTCATTTTAGAATATCAAATGCTGCATGCATGTACAGTGACGAGCTTCAGTGATTCAATGCGGAATGCAGACTATGTCCTCCAATTTACATAAATATAAAATAGAAATTCCAGTGTGCAAAATACTGCATCCTCATTTGCATAGCTATGAAGAACAGAAACTTAGAGGACATTGTAAAATCTTGAGAACTTAAATCTTGCAGAGGAGAACAGCAGCTGATTTAAAAGTCAACACCTTATCTATCCACAGTTGGCACAATATATTACGCTTCTAACATTGAAAAATCACCCTTCATAAATCTGAATATACTTCTCATCACAAACTTTCTATAGAAGTTTATATGAAATCCATTTTTTTCACTAGCGGAGATTGGTTTGTATCTTTTCTGTTCGGTTCTTGAATGTGCCCCAGAGGTGATTAACATAACTTAGAAATAAAAACAGCCTCAAAAAAAAAAAAAAAAAAAAAAGAAGCAGCCTTTATGTTTGAGTCTTGGGACCTGTCTAGAAAACCTGCTTAATAAAACATGTCATGCAAACGAAATATTGACACAGGGCAGTGAGACAAAGGAATCAAACACTGGGAGTCTGGAGGTCAGACGATCATTACTGCTGGGATGAAAAGGAGACTTACCAGGCTAAATCGATTTTTGGCTAGAGCAATGAGCTCCTGGTCCCCTGGGGCACAGATGTTCAACCCAATGGGCAGTAAGCGCTTCAGAGCTGCTACAATCAGAGAGGTCTGCATGGAATACCGATCTCCTTTGCGCTTCATTTTCTTCCTTTCCTGATCAGAAACCGCTGCCTATGGAACAAGAGAAGTGCTGGGATCTGAACCTGCTTCTCTCACATGTAGAACCACTACAACTCTTCTCTAACTTGTCACTTCGTCTTCCTCATTTTCTGCTGCTCCCTAGTTTTGAAAATCTTCCTGTCTTGAAAATAATTTTTCTCTTCCCATCTTAGCACCTTTTGCTAATTTTAAGTCCTGCCCTCAGATTCCTATTATAATTCACTGATATGCATTCCCATGTAATTTTTAGAAGAAAAATGAAAATTGTAATTTTAGGGAAGCAGATAAATATATAAAAATGCTATAGTAATTTCAGATGTGTGCTTTCTAATTTTCAATGCTTAAGAAAGAAATATAAGAATAAAGGGCTTATTTTTCCTTTGACAAATGCTTGCTTTGAAATATGTATACATGTATATGGTGTGTGTATGTGTGTGTGTGTGTGTGAGATCTAATATATCTAGAACAATTACAAAATGCATTTTCCTTTTATACAGTCTGCAAACTTGTCTTCTTAGAGCCTCAGTCCCTGTCTAATAGAAATAGAAGTAATATACTCATTGGAGTTTCATAAATACTCAGGACTATCTGGATAACCAGTTTACAATTGAATACTGCCATGTTACTCAAGGACTCTCTCATGATGTTTTTGAGGCTTATGCTAGCAACACAGGGTCACCTTAAATGACAGAGTCTAACTTTCACTGGGTAATGAGTATTCTATCAAGAGGGCATGTTCTAATGTCAAAATGAAAATAATTGTACCACATCCACTTATTTGTGCATGTCAAATATTTGGTAGCAGGAATTCAAACTTGCAACATAGTTCCATGATAATGAAATGATAAAGAAAAATGTTTTAATATTTACAAATATAAATATATTGTAATAGTCTTGGGCTACTGAGAAAAAAGCAAAACAGAATTTAATATACAAATGATCTGTTTTACTTAACAGAAGGTAAAATATATCATAGCATGAGGTTGAAAGATATTTTTAGGATAGCAAAAGTAGTGAAACAAGTAAGTCACCATACAGCAATGCTAGCTTCTGTATTACGTTATAAAATTTATTGTGTAATAATTATACTATATATTGATATGTTAAACCTATAATTTTCTGAACCATAGCAGTAAGAATCACACTTCTGTTCCAAAAAGATGTGCTTATTGTATGAATCCCATTTTTATATGTACCAACTTGTAAGAGATTATTCTAAGTTTATTAGGAAAAACATGATGAATAATTTGTACTGTTAAGTTGATTAATTCATTAAAAAATGGATCAGTCATTTAAAATGGGCTCTTTGTTCAAACGACAACATAACTAAAATGATAAAAATAATTACCCAAATGAAGAACAACTATCTGAAAAATTAAGCAAATTGATACAAATTATACAAACATACTTCTATCCAATACTAGTAATTTAGTTTCAGCAAAGCAACATCCCCAGTGTAGTCTAAATTGTATTGGTTTGGAGTTTTCCTAGTCTAAATTTGTTGGTGTTAGAGTTTTCATTGATTTTAACCTGGAAAGTTCTTCTGGTTTTATGGTCGTAGAGGCAGACGGAGCTTATATCTGGTTTAATATTTATAAATATTTGTGAGCTTATAATAAAAATAATCAACACTAAACGCATCTACAAATTACTCAATTTTGAGTAATACTAGGCAAATGAATTCCTACTTATACACAAACAATAATTTTGCTTTCCACCCGAGAAGAAATCTAGAACTGGAAAGAGTAGTAAATATTTGAATATTTATGGGTGATATCACTGTTAATATGAGGAAATTAAATCTATAAGCAATAAAATATCCTCCTGTACACATATATTGGGTATTTTTTGTTCATTTGTTTAGTGCCTATTTCCTCGCCAAACTATGTAGCTCCTTTGGGGCAGCTGCCAAACCTGTTTTGTCCTTTCTCTGTATTCAAAGCCAAGCACTGTGCCTTGCTCATAGGAGCAGCTTGATAATTTAAACAGAGCCGCCAAAGCTAATGAATTTGCACACTTTTTCATTTTCAATCTGAGCATTTGGATCAGTTATGAAGATGTAATAACATGGCCCATATGTGGGCATATTTAAGAAGGAAAGTGGGATAACCTGAGCCCTTTCTTAAATCAATCACCTGAGTGCTTTTTCTTTTTCTTTTCTTTTTTTTTTTTTTTGAGACAGAGTCTCGCTCTGTTACCAGGCTAGAGTGCAGTGGTGCGATCTCGGCTCATTGCAGTGTCCGCCTCCTGGGTTTAAGCAATTTTCTGCCTCAGCCTCCCAAGTAGCTGGGATTACAGGTGCCCACCACCATGCCCGGCTAAATTTTTTTGTATTTTTAGTAGAGATGGGGTTTCACCAACTTGGCCAGGCTGGTCTTGAACTTCTGACCTCGTGATCCACCTGGCTTGGCCTCCCAAAGTGCTGGGATAACAGGTGTGAGCCACCGCATCCGGCCACCTGAGCCCTTTCTTAAATCAATCAATCAATCAATCAATCAATCAACCTCTGCTTCTGCCTCCTCTCTCTCTCACACACCAACAAACATACAAATATGATTGTAGCGATTTCACATAAAATAGCCTTAAATTTAATAGTGGACCAGGAAAATAAGAAAGACATCAAACAGACTCTTTTTCAAAGATACTGTTAGACTTGAGCAAAAGCAGTGCTATGGCTGCATAAAATGGGATAGTAGCAGGCTCCACCACCCTCTCTCCTCATGACCCATCTAGAAAAGACTCATTTTTCAATACCTATTCAAATCTTCACTTACCTCTGACATCTTTGACTATCTTATCAATTTCTTTGTCTCATACATTTTCTAAGTACTTATTAACTATATGATTGTTAGATATCCAGTTGCACTTTAACTTTATCAATTTGTTACTACAATTCATATCTGTTAAAATTTGTTGCATGCCTACAATCTGCGAGGCACGATACACACATTATTCTGATGTTTACAAGCCTCCATCAAGGTAAGCAACATGACAAGCATTTTGCTGCTACCAACAATGAGGTTTAAGATGAGTGAAGGGATTATGAAGTGGCAGAGTCAGCACTCCAGGCTGATCTGCCTCTGAAAGCCAAGCTCTCTCCTTTACCACATTATGAACGGGAAGCACAGTTTTAATCGGTTTCACAGGACCTTTCTGTGGGAACTTACAAAAAATGTTCTAATATTCCTACAATGAAATAGCCTACCAAAAAAAAAAAAAAAAACCCACAAAAAGATACCTTTTTGTATTTTAGATATAGTAATTATAAAAATGAGCCTAGCTTTAAATGTCCAAGGCCTGTGATTATATTTCGACAGGAAATGAAATCTTAAGAAAAAAATAGAGTACAATTGTGTAATGCAACAGGCAAAACCCACCTTTTCTCACACCCACAAATAAACACAGAGAACCTGTAATAAACGCTATCTATCAATGCTATCTACCTATCTATCTATCTATCTATCTATCTATCTATCTATCTATCTATCTATCTCTCTATCTATCTGGTTTTCTTTTGTTTTGTTTTGTTTTTTGAGACGGAGTTTCACTCTTGTTGTCCAGGCTAGAGTGCAATGGCACAATCTCGGCTCACTGCAACCTCCACCTCCTGGGTTCAAGCGATTCTCCTGTCTTGACCTCCTGAGTGGCTGGGATTACAGGTGCCCGCCACTACGCCAGGTTAATTTTTCATATTTCTAGTAGAGACGGGGTTTCACCACATTGGCCACGCTGGTCTCAAACTCCTGACCTCAGGTGATCTGACTGCCTCGGCCTCCCAAAGTGCTGGGATTACAGGCGTGAGCCACCGTGCCTGGCCTGGTCTATGTTTTTTAAAATAAGTTACAAAAACCCCAAGTTTCATAAGACAAGTTAGGAAAATTTCAAACATATTATTACAAATTTCAGCAATGCTAGCCATATAATGTGGTGCCACTGTGGATTTCGTACCACTGCAACAGTGAGTCAGTAAACGCAAAGTAAAATAAGATACATTTTTTAAAAGCCCAATGACCACATTTATAAATTCTTTAAAGTCAAAATTTATTTCATCCATATTAATTAGGTAGCTACTAGGCACCAAGCACTGCATTGAGCTTTAGAGTTAGCAAGTGAATGACGTATGTTTCCTGCCCTTGAGGGACAGATATCTAAGTCACAGATGGGCTGCAGAACAAGGGGCCACGTGCCCTGCTAGGAGAAACCAAGGGCTAAGAGGGCACATGGGAAAGCAGAAAGAGAAAGGCTTCGCTGTAGAGAAAGCAGTCATATGCTATTCTGTTGGTGCAAAAGTAATCACAGTGTTTGCCACTGAAAGTAATAGCAAACACCGGGGTTACTTTTGCATCATAATACATATAGCTCTGTCATATGCAAACTGACATACTGAGTAAAAGTCAACTAAGGTCCACTTTTCACAGTGATCACCACCATTACACATATCCCTGAGGGTTTCCATGCCACACATAGGTGGTCACTTTCTTTCCTTATGGCCAATTTTCTATGCACTGGCCTCTCTCTGCCTTGTGAGCTATGTACCTTTTGCTCTATGTCAAAATGAGGTCCCTTCTCCCGGATCACCATATTCTAGACTGGCCTGCTGGCTTCAATCTATTTTCTATTTAGAAAATAGTTTTGGAACTGGCACTGCATGCAAACAGTGATTATCCCCTGCTTGAGTGACTGGCTGAAGACTGATAGGAATCACTTGTCCTCTGGTTCCTGTTTCTACTTGCATTTGGTCTAAATCTGTTTGAAAGGAGTTCCTTTTTCCTTGAGAACTCTGCAGGGCGGCTCTCTCTGCCGCTTTGATGCCTCAGGCAGATGGTTTGAGATCTTGTTACAAGAATCCCTGAAGCACTCGGCATCTCTCCCTTCTCAGCATTATGGGGGAAACAATTCTGCATCCACTCCGCCTCATAGGTAACACCTACGGCAATCCTCCTGTTAATCACTCTCGGCACTAGGCTTGGGTCCTTCATGCCATCCAGGTTCAGCAGAGCCCCCAATCATGCTGAAAAACTGCAGTTCCTGTGCTTCTATGGCAGACATAATGTGGACATCATGATTTCTTGAGCAAAACAATATAAAACATGAATGTGTTGACTCTATTGTTTGAACTAGAAGCATTATTTCAAGCAAAAAAAAAAAGTGTATTATACCTACATGATATAAAATTACAAATAATTTTTTTAAACTTTTAAAAATAAGCTAAGTATAATCAGTAATTTCTAAAAATTTCAACTTTATTACCATTATTTTCTTTCTTTCTTTCTTTCTTTCTTTCTTTCTTTTTTTTATAAAGATGGTCTCACTCTGTGGCCCCAGTTGGAATACAATGGTGTGATCATAGCTCATTGCAGCCTTGAACTTCTGGGCTCAAGCAATCATCACACCTCAGCCTCCTTAAGTGGCTAGAACTACAGGTGTGTGCCACCACACCTGGCTAATTTTTTAACATATTTTGTAGAGATAGGGTCTAACTATGTTGCCCAGGCTGGTCTCGAACTCTTGGCCTCAAGCAGTCCTCCCACCTTAACCTCCCAAAGCCCTGAGAATTACTATCATTTTCTATATGTTTTGCCTCAGAGTACTATAAGTCATATATTAAAAAAAAAAAAACAAAAAACTCAATTTTTTAGTTTGAGAAAATTTGTGGGTCAGAAATGTTAAAATTAAGAGGCTCTTACCCATTACTTCCCTTTTTTCTTCTTGCAAATAAGACTAAACTGTGTTACTATTAGCCAATGTTTATGGATGTCTCACTCTACGTTCTACAATGTGCAGTGCTTTGAGAGCATCTTTGAGAATCACTGGACTCGACTGATGGAAAAGAAGGAAAAGGATGTCTGTACAGGAATACACAGACTTCTCCTGGCATTAGCTTCTAGTTCATGTGCTGTCAGGTCAAACACACGGCATTCAAAACTCTAAACAAGACTAGGCCTATCAAGCAATGCCATTCTATTTCCCTGGTGGCAGATTGCAGAGCAGGCCTGAGGATCCGGTGACTTCTGGAGGTCAGTGGAGTGGGTATACCCAAGCTACTCTGTTGCCAGAATGTATTAAGTCAGTAGAGGCTAATTTCCTCTGCCTGAGTACCACTCATTTTTGGATCTTTGGCCATTTGGCTGCCAAATATCACCACATGTAATATATTTATTTCTCATTTAGCAGGAATTACATATACAAAGCCCTTTAAAAACGTTGTAAATGGAAGCTCCTCTCCTCCCCAATACGATAGAGAAAACAAAAATCAGGAAAGATACTTCCCACTTCATGTGTGAGAACCTGGAATTCGTCCATGTGGCTTTTAAATAATGCAGCGAATTTATTTTGAGGTCTGTTTATTTGGTACACATAAGCACACAAATATTCACACTTGATGGATACATAGTGTTGACGTATTAAACACACATTATACTGACTGATAATTTTGTGAGTGGGGTGTGGTGTGTGCGTGTGTGTGAAGAATGTCTTTATTCTGTTGCTCTGACATCTTGGAGAATTGCTAATCCTGGGGAGACAGCAGTCCCTCCCATGGTTAGGCAATTCCTAGAGAAGGAAATGGGTTCCTTGGTCCGGGGAGCTTGCTTTTTGTATATAAATCAACTAATCCAGAGCCCACACTGACCCCCACCTCCCCCAAGGGGCTCTTATACTCTGGGCTACTATCCACCTGCCCTAATCATTCTGGGACTAGGTACCAGGCAACCAAGAACAGCCTCTCCGATGTGGAGCCCCTGAAAATTATTCAAATTAGCCAATCAGAAACCCATTTGCCATGCCTTGTCCATTCCTTCCAGTGGAGACCGTGAGGCAAGCTCTCACCCACGTCTTCTCCTTGCTTTCTCTGCCTCCTGACCAACCCTGACCCCTCCCCAACGGCCCTGCTTGGCATGGCATGCCTCCGGTTTCCAGGGATCTGTCAGTAGAAATGTCTTCCTTCATGACAGTCATTTCCCGTCTGCATGTCTTAACCACACCTGATTCAAACAAATTCCAGTAACCTTAAAACAGCTTGCGTGTTTTAACCAATTTATAACATTACCAAATCTATCAGATTCCAGTTACAAATCTTCAAAAATCTAAAAAAAAAAAGATCAATTCATGAAAGTCACATTCGGATATTTTCTAGAAGAGTGAAACAGTTTATAGTCATACCTTGGACATCTTGGACTTGGTATCAGTAATAAGGAAAGACATATTGTTGATTTCATTCTGTACAACGAAGTTCTGCTCTTCTCTTTTGAAATTCTGAGAAGTTGCAAAGGAAATTTCAGTTAAAACCACTTAAAGAAGTCTTTGTAATTAGAGGTTACACAGAACCTGCAAGCTTTTACAGAGATAAGTATTAATTTGATATATAAGAAACATCAAAAAAGGATACAAGTATTTCTTGAGTATCTAATGAGGGTACTTGGCTGGGAGCAACAGTTCTGTGAACTAGATATGAATATGCGCATTGCAAAGATGGGAAAACTAAGGTTCAGAAAATGTAACTGCAAGATCACACGTTTACCAAGGAGTAGCATGAATATTCAAACCCCTGATTAGCTGGTGAAAGGCATATACTGATTCCTAAGATTAATTAACCTAGACTTTCCAAGGACGCATAGAACTATGATGTAACTTTCTATTCTGTCAGATTTTTTACCTCTTTTTAAAATACCATATCATTATTTATTCCCTTTTAATTTGGGAACATAAAAAGACTAGCAAAATCAATTTATCTTTAAATATTTGGGGAAAAACATAACACATTAGCCAATGTATGTTTATATTAATATATGCCCATGAGATTCAAAAGTACATATTCGGATATTTTTGCTTATTCTTGAAAGTATTATTAGATGTTCATCTGAAAACCTACTGATTATGATAAATACTCTTGTTCCAAACTTTAATCTTGTACCTAAATCTAAAGACACTTCTTCAGCATTTTAATGATTGAGGAAGCTGAAGATTTGCAGTTCTTCAAATAAAAATATACAGGTTTTTTTTTGTTTTTGTTTTTGTTTTTTTTTTTTTTGAGACAGAGTCTTGCTCTGTCGCCCAGGCTGGAGTGCAGCGGCGCAGTCTTGGCTCACCGCAAGCTCCACCTCCCAGGTTCACACCATTCTCCTGCCTTAGCCTCCCCAGCAGCTGGGATTACAGGCGCACGCTGCCACGCCCGGCTAATTTTTGTATTTTTAGTAGAGACAGGGTTTCACCGTGTTAACCAGGATGGTCTCAATTTCCTGACCTCGTGATCCGCCTGCCTCGGCCTCCCAAAGTGCTGGCATTACAGGCATGAGCCACTGCGCCCCGCAAAAATATGCAGTTTTTAGTAATTTTTTCCTGGTATCCCCCTATTTTCCCATTAGGCATTCTAGGTGAAGTAACCCAACAGGAAAAACAAGAGGCAAAAAGCAAAAATTCATCTTTGTTCTTTGGCAACTCAAAATGGACTGATTTCTTCTGGAATTTATTTATTTATTCATTCATTCATGTATGTATTTAGGGACAGGGTCTGGCTCTGTCACCCAGGCTGGGATGCAGCTTGCAATGATAGGGCACTGTAGCCTCAAACTCCTGAAGTCAAGCAATGTTCCCACCTGTCACTGGGCATGCATATCTATCTATCTATCAGTCTGTCTGTCTATCTACATATCTAATCTATTTATCTTTTTAGAGTGGATTTTGAATTTTCCTTCATAATACCTTGGATGACCTATTGCATCCCCCAAACGTGAGTTACACAGGATAAATAAATTTGTATCCTTGTGAAGATACAAATTTGCATGTTAAGAAATCATTATTTCATATATCCTTTCTGAGTGATTGTTTTTATGTATGTTTTTATATAAAGTTTCCTATTAAGTTTGACAGACTCCTCAGATATAGGCAATAAATAATATTTATTATCCCAAATATTAAATGTGAATACTTTATTTAAAAATAATGTGTTCAAAGTAATTTGATTTGAACACATAATATTTTACAGTCTGATGAAGTAAACTGGTAAGATAACTCAGATGATAAAACTGAGGTTGAAATTTTTATTTTTATTTTCTGTCTCCCATTTACAGAGTGACATAGAATTATAATAGATATAAAAATTCTAAACTTTTAAAATAATTCAGGATAATCATCAATGCTGAATTACCTATATTCTGCTAGTTACTGAAAATAAATGGTAGAATACTACACAATTCTTATGATAGAATATTATACAATTCTTATGATTAAAATCTTTTCCAGATTTAAAAATGTATAGTTCCACTTGCACTACACAAAATAGTGAAAATTCACCAAATATGTCCTTTAGAAATTCTATCAACAGGATTGTCAGTAGAAAGAAGCTTTATTTTAAAAGCCAACAGATTCTAAAATGTAAGCCAAACTAAATTCCTGTAGATGTAAAGTGTGTGAAGATAAAACAAATTTATGGAAGCAGTACCTTTACAAGTAATATGAGTGTGTGTTATTGTTGGAAATCGCTAGTCTATTTAAGCACATCTCAAACTGAGTACTGCATATTAAGAGAACAGAATGCCAAGAGATAGGGAAAGCTAAATAGTAAAAATAGTACATCTTAATGTAACGTCAATATTAGTCTAAAATTTAGGGGCAAATTTAAAATATGTTTATGGAGCGCAATTAAAAATTCCTGTGATTTTTTTTAAGAAGATAAATTGCAAAACTCAAAAGAGGGTTTATATTCCCTCAAACTCCTCAGGGGAACCTATCCTCTCTCCTCAACTGTTACATGAAACCTAGGAGGCAAGTAGGCAGGTGCCTACCAAACAGTAGGCGTGATCTGTCAATGTTTTCACACTCACATGGGATTTCGACCAGTAGATAAACACTTCTGCCACCATGCGGAAGAGCTCCTCTGCTTCCGGGTTAGGCTCCTTCAGCCACTTTGCCCTGGATCACATAATAAATAAAGCGGTTTCACAGCTACTCCTTAAAGTTAATTTAAAAAAAAAATCACCCTCCTAAAGTTAAATGTACTGACCACAGAGCTCATGGTGGTTTCAGCATAGAGCTGTAACATTAAAAGAAAATTTAAACATCATAACTGTCAAACTGTTAACTTTTACATGCCAAATCAGAATGAAATGACCAACTTTGATTTTAAGGCGTTTTAATTTTAAGCCGAAAATTAACTTACCTATAAACAATTAATTATGTTATCATTACCAACAAGCTCATGGCCAAATAGTGAATGAAGTGATTCAAGAAGGACATGTGAGCCAAGAAAGGTTATCACTGAATTGGGGAAATTACTAAATTACTTTTGATCATACCTGTTATAGTCCACAAATCTAATCAAGAGAGGGTAGAAGGCATAGAGATCTCTGGCCAGCGTGGTGAACTCATCTAGGATGAGGAGTTCAGCCTCTGACATGTCCCCCCTGGCCTCGGCTTTCAGGTGATCTTCCTCAGACACCACCATGGCTGCCTTTTTCTTGAGTTTCTCCATTAACGGCAAGAAATGAGTTTTCAAGAGCTGAGGTTTCACTTTATTTATTATAGGCTGGGAAAACACTGTTTAAAGACAGACATTAGTATTCTGCTCTGTATAACCATTCATTAAAATGATGAGAGATTATAATTATAATTGCAACATGATTAAAGCCTCCTTCTCCAGCACATGACTTCCTTAAGGGTACAGCTCATGCCTCAGCCATTTTTCTAGTCCAAGCTCTAATTGCATAGTTGCTATTACAAAAAAATGATTACTAAGTTGAATTCAATGATCTTCCTTGTTTTTAGAATAGATTGATAGCTAATTTAGAATGGAAAAAAAGATTTTCAGTCATTTTGGAAATCATTTTCACACAATAAATAAAATCCCCAAATGGAAAAGTTTCCCCTAACCCTTAGAATAGGAACAAGCTCTGCTACATAATTACTACATGAGACCACATGCAGTTATCTCATTTTAACTATCCCCATCCTTGGCCCAATGGAAGAGTTAGATTACATGGAACACTGCTCTCTTACTTAATAATAACCATAGTTATTAGTAATAGTTCTAAACTTGATTAGGCCATTTTTTAAAACTATTTTTTCCCTGAAGGTAACATATATGCACAGGGGAAAAGTACACAAGAGAAAAGTTAAAGTCAACCATAATCATCTATCCAAATTAATACGTCATTGCTGCATTTCTCTGGAGCTTTCATCAGTAGATACATTAATATACATATATATTACACACATAACATTCTGAATTCATTGTTTTAAAACCTCTTCATTTTGCCCTTCATAATATGAGGATTTCCAGGGCATAAAACATTGTTGGAACTTTAACATTTAAAGATGACATAATATTCTGGCATGTAGATGTACATAACTTATTTAGCCATATTCTAGTTATTGGATACTTAGATTGCTTTAAACTTTTCAATATAAATAATGCAATAATTGTAGATATTAGACTACATTTTTTTGGTTTACCCATTTTTTGGTTTAGCCACAGATGGCTAAAAGTGGATTGCTAAAAGTTGAACGTTTTATTTTTGTCTCTGGCTATAGACTCATTAGTTTTTCCTGCTGTGTTTATTGATTAATCTTACAGAGACTGACAAGTCAGAAAAATATTTACTTAAAAGTAGTAACTATTTAAAATAAACCCAATGCCTGTTTTTATCTACATTAAACAACAGCATGACAAATAATGCTATTTTTGAGTAAAGAAAATATTAATAAAAATTGTGATGGGAAAATTCTAGTTTATATATTTAAAATTCTTTTGGAAATAAAATAGATTGAAGGGGTACAATGTCTTCTTCTGATTCTTACCTGCTAGCCTCTTCATCCAGGCTCCCTCATCAATCCCCAAGTTATTATATATGATTTTCAATATGTTCCCTAGAAGTGTGTTCATGTGCTCTGAGTTCAGGGCTGTGCAGCACATCTCGGCCCGTTCTGGATTGTTCTCAGGCCCATGCTCCCACCAACGAGACATGTAGCTGCAAAGCATGGGCAGTATGACTTCCATCACATGTGGCATTTGAGTGTAGCGAATGCCGGACTCAGCTAATTCCACGATTTCTTCCATGAGTTTCTCCAAAGACGGTATATTTGGACAAACATCTTCCACATTAGTTGGCAAACTGAGAGCTGGAGAAGTACACATAAAAAATGGATTATATTCAAAGAAAGTACCGAGATGATATGGCAGATTTCCACAGGCAACTATTGCATTTTGGACTTCAAAACTTAGCAAGATCTGGCATGCCTTTAACTGGCTCCTTCTCCTGTTTTTCAAGGTAGCTATTTCAAAGCTTCTGTTTCCTCCAAGTTCCTACTGTACCAACACTCCCAGAAAACAGCCATTCCTCCTACTTCACAGCAAACAAGAGTATCAAATATTTCCTCCTCGAACTTTGCTGCTCTCACGACCTACAAGCCATTTATGACTGGCTCCACACTGGCCTCCTTTCCCCGTCTCTGAGGACGTTTTGAAGTCCCCCACTCATGGCTCCACCGAATACCCGATGCCTTGCTCAGGCCTGTATTTTCAGGCCTCTAATACCTCCTACCCAGCAGATACTCAAATCTTTCCCGGATTACTTAGCTTTCCAGGCACTCTCCATCCGCAGGAACAAAGCTGCTTTTCACTGCGCAGCAAAATCACACTTTACAACTCATCTTTCCAACGGTTCAGTGGCATTGCATATCCCTGACCAAATTCCCTTTTCCTAAAACTCCCTTCTTTCTTAACATCAATGTGCCCAGCCTTTCTGGCTCCCTCTGAACGTTGTCAGTGTCCTTACTGACTCTCTTCTCCTTGCTGAACTTTGTTGTTGTTGTTGTTGCTGTTGTTGAGACGGAGTCTCACTCTGTTGCCAGGCTGCAGTGAGGTGGCACGATCTTGGCTCACTGCAACCTCTGCCTCCCCGGTTCAAGCGATTCTCCTGCCTCAGCCTCCTGAGTAGCTGGGATTACAGGCACGCAGCACCGTGCCCGGTTAATTTTTGTATTTTTAGTGGAGACAGGGTTTCACCATGTTGGTCAGGCTGGTCTTGAACTCCTGACCTCGTGATCCACCTGCCTTGGCCTCTCAAAGTGCTGGGATTACAGGCGTGAGCCACCACACGCCTGGCCCTTGCTGAACTTTTAAATGCTGATTATCTTTAGAAATCTATCTTTGATTCTCTTCTTGTTTTTGGTTTGCATGTTCATCTAGACAATTTTGGCCATTCTTTCTGCTATAAGCTAATATCTCTAAAGCCATGTTTCTTAGAAACTGTTCTGACTCATCCTGGATGTCTCAACCGCAACTAAAACACAATGGGTCTAAATTTAAACTTCTCCTTTTCTCTCCAGCCTATCTTGAGCATGCACTAACTTGGTGGGGACATTATCCAGTCAGTCACCCAGGCAAAAAACCTGGGAGAACGTCTAGGCTGTGATGCTCCCTCATCTGCCACACGAGATGACTCTCCCTCTAGGAGCTCTCACAATCAACACACATACACGCTGTCCGAGGGGCCTGCTCAGTCACCTTGCTCTTGAATTACCACCTATTCTAATTGCTGACTTATAGCTATTCATGTTCCTTATTGTTGTCTGTTGTCAGGATACATTTCTGAAATGCAAATCTACTCATTTTACCTTTTTTTTTTTTTTTTTTTTTTTTTTGAGACAGAGCCCTGCTCTGTTGCCCAGGCTGGAGTACAGTGGTACTATCTTGGCTCATTGCAACCTCCACCTCCTGGGTTCAAGAGATTCTCCCGGCTCAGCTTCCCGAGTAGCCGGGATGACAGGTGCCCACCACCACACCCGACTACTTTTTTTATTTTTAGTACAGATGGGGTTTCACCATGTTGGCCAGGCTGGTCTCGAACTCCTGACCTCAGGTGCCTACCTCCGCCTCCCAAAGTGCTGGGATTACTGGTGTGAGCCACTGCGCCCGGCTCATCTTACCTTTTTAAAGCCAGTAAAAGAATTCTATTTGCCACTGGTACAGTCCCCACTCCTCACCTGACATAAAAAGCCTTCCTCCCCTCTTTCTAGCTTTCTATTACTGTCTCATCTTTCACCCTTTACTTTCCTGAATGCTATCTCCAACCATGTTAGAATGCTTGAAGTTTCTCCTCATGTAGCAGAGTTTCAGTCTTCCTAATCTCAAGACTCATCTTGTATCAGCTTTGTGAAGTCTTTCCAGGTGTTCCTGGCTAAAACTGCCTTTTTTGTTGTCCCCAGTACTCTTTATTTTTATTATTATTATTATTTTTGAGACAGTGCATTGCTCTGTTGCCCAGACTTGAATGCAATGGCATGATCTCAGTTCACTGCAACCTCTGCCTCCTGGGTTAAAGCGATTCTCCTACCTCAGCCTCCCAAGTAGCTGGGATTATAGGGGCCTGGCACCATGCCTGGATAATTTTTGATTTTTAGTTGAGACAGGGTTTCACTATGTTGGCCAGGCTGGTCTCGAACTCCTGACCTCGTGATCCACCCACCTTGGCCTCCCAAAGTGCTGGGATTATAGGTGTGAGCCATTGTGCCCTGGCCCCAATGCTTTTTATTCTTAATTCTATCACATATGTTATCGATCTTTCTCCCTCGACTGCCACTAAAAAGTCCCTGAGGAAAAAAATTGTCTTCTTCATCTTTGTATCGTATCTCCCTCATCTACCACAGTGTACATCACAAACAAGTATATGTTGAATGACTGAAAAATGAAATCATTACATTCAATTTCTTTACTTTGTTATGCAAATGATATTACAGAAACGTAAGCAGGTAAATTATCTGCTTTGTGTATTTCCTTATCTGTAATGAAATAACAAATCTGCTTCATTATTGGTTCATAGCAAAAATATGAACTGATCAAAAGCCTCAATAAGTCAACCTTTATATGTTTACACAGAAGATTAAGAGCTCAAACAACCATTTTTCACTAACTACTTACAAATATATTGTGGAAATTATGTGGAAAAATATTACGAAGCACATTCAACGTATTTTTCTTTAACTTCATGTTTTATATAAAGTCAGAATTATAAAATAGTCAAATAATGATTACATGAATTATTAAAAGATTCCTTACTTCATGAAATTCACTATAAAATCAATATAACCAGCAGCTCCCATAAAAACATGAGTTATACAGAGAAATAAGCTAATAAACAGGTATGAATTTATGAACACCAAACAATCCTTGCCCAAACTGTGAGAGCTCTTTAGGGCTATTGGAAAACAACTAAAATATAATAAACTTTACCAGACTTAGAAGACATTAAACAGGAAAAACGTTCCATAAGAGATCACTTTTGTAGTGTTCAGGCTATGAGAACTGTGCTTTGATTGCTTGAAAGTACTGATTAGAAGAATAACTAGTTTATACTTTATTATTTGTATATCCAACTCAATTCAAATCCTAGTTAATAATTCAAATGACTTCTCAAAGTCCAACCATTGAAATCATCAGCAAGGGTTCAAAAGCTTTCTTAACTGGGACAGTGGAGAAAATGGGCCTATCTGCCCAGTGAATAATCAGATTTTCCTAAACGCAACATGAATCATGAGGATCTACAGATTCTCTTTATCTATATAGGGAAACATAAATCTTAGGGACACATAAGCGTGGGCCAGGTACAGATTTAAAGTCATTGATTAAGTGTCTCTCAGATTTATGTTTTAAAGTGTTTTCATGAAAAAAGCTTCAACTATTAAAAAATCACATGGAATAAAATTGTCCTAATAAGGTAGACATATCTGGTGAAAAAGAAATAATTAAAGGTATAAATTCATAAAATCTAAGTAATAAAAATGGCATACACCTTGCTGACAAACTATAATAGATAACTGAATCATAAATCAGACCAACCTATTTTTTCCATATTTGATTATTATTTTGTCTTATTTTTAAGAGTTTTGTCTATAGCTCATTAACTGAGAAGAAATCCAATGAATTTTCTTTCAGAAATACTAGAGAAATTGAATATAGTATCCAAAAACAGAATACCAAACAATAACATTTAAGAACAAACAAGATTGGAGATAGTAAACTGAAACAGCTCATTAAAAATCACTATCGGACAATATGATAAATATCAAGTATTAGCTTCATATTTCAAAGCACTGCACATGTTTCTGTGTTACCTGCTCTTTCTCGTGAAGACTTGGTATTGTAGATGGAGTAAATATTATGTTTGTCCAGATGAGTTTCCAAAAATGCTACAGGAAAGGCACCAGCAAACGCAGCAAGACATTCTCCTAATGCAGAACGTTGCCTGTAAGTAGAAAATGCTTATGTTTTAATGTCTTCCAAGTGAGTAACTAAAAAAGTCATATTACAATTAGCAAGTTTGACCTAAAAGGAATAATATTCCTATGAATTAACTTCCGAATCCAGTTTCTGCATTGCTAAACATCATGTGCGTTCAATAGCAATATCCTTACCATTTGAAAAAAAGCTAAACTATCTATTAGCCAAAAATTATCTGTCAACTTTTTTCCTCATATCTGATTGGACTAGTCCTTTTATTTCATTAATTCACTTTAAAATTCTGTTTCAATTAGTGATTCTCAGACTGATTCTGATAATCTGTGTTGGTATTCCAGAAATATCAATGTTTCTTTTGGATGACTTATGTTAAAATATCTAGATTTTTAGATATTTTAGAAAAAGTTCCACTGTAACTTTTTCTAAATATCTATTTTTATCAAAATGTCTTTTCCTTACCTTTGAAATTTTATTTTTTTTGTTTTCCCCAATCACTTTATAATTGTAAAATTAATTGCACAAAAAAGACTTAAAAACCAAGCCACCAAAAACCAAAACATTGTTCAGAACCTAAAAAAATGACCTTGAATTTTGTCCAGATAAATACATACGCAAAAACAACAATGACAAAAACAAAAGCAACAGCAGTAAGAAGGAATTAGAGGGTTTGAAAAAGCAGATATTAAAATACTTTTAAAAAATACTAACAATTCAGGCTATATGATACTGATTTATTCATAAAAAATCAAATAATAGAACAGAATAGAAATTCTAAATGTAATCCAGTAAATATATTACTCTATGTGATGGTTTATTTTACATCAGGGAATAAAATAAATATTTAATAAATGATTACTTTACACATGGTTGATGATTTTTAAAAATTTTAAGTTGAATCCTACATAATACCCAAGAGAAATAAAATTCAGATATATTTCTAGCAAATTCCCTTCTTATCTCAGAGATAATTGTTCCAGACATTCTCTGCTTTCCTCGAGCTTTCCACATGTCTTTTCTCAGCCATTGTCTGGCTTAGGACTCAAGTCATTCTTCATTGAGGAAATAGAAGCTACTAGACACAGACCTACCTGATATAGCTTCTACCTATTTTCTGTTGCATAGAGAAAAGTTATAAGCTTCGAAAGTCGCCTTCTAAAAGATACATTCTTGACTACCTTGTTCTGTAAATTGTCTGATTATTCATAGGACAAACTATCCCTCGCCACTATAATATTTATCAGTTTGCTTGTCTGTTTTGGTTTGGTTTCCTCCACCAGAAATAAAACCTATGAGAGTAGAGAAGTATCTTGTTTATTTCTGTATCCCAGCATCTGGCATTTAATAAATATTTAGGACACAAACAATAGGATTAAAAAGTTAAATATAAGGAACTGGAAGCATGTAAAGTCTAGGAGAATAAATGTTTGAAATTCTAACTGCTAAATGTGTAGTCTAAATTTATCGGAATCATAAAACTAAGGGGAAGAAACATACATGAAATAACTGATAGATTTGATTATGTCAAAATTACATAAAATTTGATTATATAAAAATTCAACATTACCATGTCATAAAATGCTATCTGCATACAGTTTTAATATATAAACACTATAAAGGTTAAAAAAATGCTAAAACTCACAAAAACAGGAGAAACAATAGGCAAGAGGTTAATCATTTCAATAAACAAAAGCATTATTACAAATCAGCATGACGATACATTAATAGAAAAATAGATGCAAGATGAGAAAAGCTAATTCATAAAGTAAAGAAACACAAATGGCAAGGTAAACATGAAAAAAATAGCAAGTAGATAGTAATCAGGAAAGTGCATTTGAAAATATAAATAGGAATCCTATATTTTAATGATCACATACACAAGCATGAAAAAGAAAAAAAGATAATCTGAGTAAGGAACAAGTGAGGAAGTTAGCATTCACTTCTAAAACTTGAGAATGTAAATGGAATCAATTTTCTGAAAACATAGTGAAATGAGTACTGTAATCCTGTAATACAGGCATACCCTTTAACCTACAATTCCAAATTCTGAGAATATAGCTAAGGGAAATAAGTATAAAAATACAATGGAATCTAGGAACATAGATCTAGCATTATACATATATTAGTGAAAAACAGAAAACAGCCAACATGTCAAAAATAAAGTCACATATCAATAAATTATACTTAATATCGTTCATAACCATAAAATAATATGAAAAATTGAGTTTACTTAAGATGAAGGTAAAAAATCTAAAATGTTCAGAGTAAACTCAATTATGTTTCTCCATTGATCTCATTTTCTATTTTTATGTACAACTGTCATCCTATTTTAATTATTGTAGCTTTATAGGTTTTAATATTTGGTAGCCCAAATGAGTACCTGTTCATTACTCTTTTATTCCCCTGCAAATTCTATTGGCTAGTCTCATGGGTTTATTCTTTGAAATAAACTTTTGAATGATTTTGTGAAGTTGGATAAAAAGCAAATTTCTGTTTGAAATTGTATTATAATTACAGATTAATTTGGGGAGACCTTATATCTATTCATAATTAAATCTTCTATCAGAAAATGTTTTTATTTATTCTGGCCTTTTAAAAAAACGTCCCTGTTTTTCTTCTCTGGTTCACAGAAATTTCTTACTAAAGTTACCAGTGATCTCTTTATTTTAAATTTACCGGGGATACCTTTTCTTATGTTACCTATTCACATCATTTAACACTGCAAATCACTCCGTCCTGAAACTTGAGAACATGAGAAAATAAAACTAAGTTTAATAACTGCTCATATTCATGTTTACTTTGAATTTCTGATATATAATGAGAAACTGTACTAGCAGGTGCTTTCATAAGACTCAAACACTCTAAGTTGAAACTTCATATTAAGTATAGTCTTTACCATTAGTGTTTTACTTTCTTTTTATAACTCCATTGTCCTCTATTATATGAATTCTTATTTTGTTTAAAGATTGTCTAATTACTTCCAAGGAATTTCATAGGTCAATCCGGTTTAGTTTATAACCTGGAAACAGGTTATGAAATGAAGAGTCTTGAAATAAATAGTTATAAAACTTGAAGCAGCAATTAATACAAAATTAAACTTTAAAAATTCTTACCTCTCCACATAAATACTCTTGCTGGTTCCCAAAGCATATAAGCTAGTCAGAATTCTATAACAAGACACCTGGACATCTTCCACTAAGGAAAAAGAGAATCTCACTTGAAAGAAAAACCCACTTGTTTATACATTGTCCTGAGAAACTTTAAGCTATATATTATTAAGTTTAGGCTATATACTATTCATCCATAAAAAACAATGAAATCATGTCTTTTGCAGCAACATGGATGGAACTGGGGGTTGTTATCTTAAGTGAAACAAGCCAGGCACATAAAGTCAAATATCACATTCCTCACTTATAAGTGGGTACTAAACCATGTGTACACATGGACATAGAGAGGAGAATAATAGACAAGACTCAGAAGAGTGAGGGGGCAGGAGGGGGTGGATGATGAGAAATTACTTAATGGGCACAACGTTCATTTGGGTGATGGATACCCTAAAAGTCCAGACAACTGTCCTTGTAACCCATACATTTATACAAATAAAAATAACTGAACAAAAGGCACATCTAAGCATGCTTTTTTTTTTTTTTGAGAGAGAGAGAGAGAGTCTTGCTCTGTCACCCAGGCTGGAGTGCAGTGGCAATATTGGCTCACTGCAACCTCCACCTCCTGGGTTCAAGTGATTCTCTTGTCTCAGCCTCCCGAGTAGCTGGGATTACAGGTGCGCACCATCATGCCCAGCTAAGTTTGTGTTTTTAGTAGAGACAGGGTTTTGCCACATTGGCCAGGCTGGTCTCGAACTCCTGACCTCAGGTGATCCACCCACCTCAGCCTCCCAAAGTGCTGGGAATACAGGCATGAGCCACTGCGCCCAGACTAAGCATGCTTTCTTAAAACAAAATTTAAAATAAACATTCTGCCACTGGTAGTTGTGGCATCCACTAAGTAACAGCAGTTTTTGCACAGATGTGCCCATCAACTGAGGAATGTAAAATGCATGAGTCTGAGTTGGTGATGCTGCTCAACAAAGGCTCATGTCCTGAGCAGGACAGTGGGGAGTTGAAGCAGCTCATGTGCTATTTTTTCCACATAATCTTGGGCATTCTGTGTATATTTTTATTAACTACCAAATGCCAGCCCCAAACAGAGGATTAAAGCTTCCCTAAAAACTGTCAGAAACCTCTAAACAGGATACTGAGACATTCTAAAAGAACAATTATTTAAACACAGACTTTGTCAATTACTTAAGACACAGTCTTCACATTACTATGTTGCCAAGCTTGGAGAAACAATCTGCACTGACTCAGAAATAATTTGAAAACATTTAATGTTGCATGTTATATGGTCCAACTGCATTAAAACATTTACGTGAAAAGAGGCAAAATGTGGAAATAGTGATCGTTTGGAAACTTTACTTCAACAATGTGGAAGTTATTTTCTATAACCAGTACCTTACTGGTCTTCTCTGTGGGTGCATGTAATTCAGAGATCTATTTCTGTAAGAATGCTGTCTATCGCTCAAATGTCAACCTATAACATTTTGCAATAAAAAAGGCATTTTAACATGGAAACTGTTTTCGTAATCCAGATGTGGCTATTACTGTTTTTGATTGTACTAGAGAGTATTTTGATTTTTTTAAAAAAACTCCAAGATATAAATTTACATACATATGAGGTCTTCTCCGAACTGATGCTGGCCAATATGTTCAAATAATGACGACAGCATTGGAAGCAGGGCCACTGTGGTGTAATTGATAATCTGAGTAACCCCTTTGGGCTGGTTTCGGGTGTGAGTGAACTGGCCCTGCTTGAGGTTTTCCATGGTCTTCTCCAGATCCTCTGCGGCATTGTCCAGAAAAGCTCTGAGTGCACTTTTAACACTCTCCAGGCCAGTCTTCATCACTGTCCTAGAAAGTAAATAAAGGAGGACTCGTATCTTCCAACAGGAACAAATGAAATATAAATGAAATGTGGTTCTCCTATGATGCTTATTTCTCCATTACTCTACCCACCTGGTAACTAACTTTTAAAATCAACTCTAAAACAAGTTTTTTCAATAACTTGAAGTTACAGCAGCACTGCTCTGTAAATTATCTTTTCCAAATACCTTCATAGTCAATTTATGAAAACCTTGCTGCAAAAGTCTGTGCTAACGCTGTATGTTTGTCATTAATGGCCTCCAATTTAACAAAACACAGTTTCTGAGTGAGTATAGTTAATCCCAAATCCAACAAAACGGAATGTTTCCTGAGGCGATGGGTAGAAAAAAAAAACATTTCATGCCAGCTAAACCAACTCAACAAATGATACAGAATGTTTGTGTTTTAAGGTGTAGCAATCAAGTCTTTTCTAAAGAAGCCGCTGAAGGCTGAACTTCATACCCTAATGCCACAATTTCTAGTAGGAAGTGAGGGTCTGTAATGGTGTCTCCTTTTTGCATTTATTATAGAAAAGATCTTAAAAGAAATCTTAAACACAAGAATGGATAATCAAAGAGTATTGTGGAATGTTCTCTTTAGGAGACATTTATAAACTTTTATTTAGATTTATCCTAGATATAAACTAAATGTATGGCTTAAAGGCTGAATCAATCGTGCTAAATGAATTGATTTTATATTTGGTCAACATGCTAGATTTCTGGTCAAGTTGACAGGGCAGAGTAGAAAGCACACAGATGGGAATTTGTCTGCCTACACACTTAGTATGCAATCTTAAACATCACTTTATTCATCTGTAAAATGAGAATAAAACTCTGTTTCCTAAAAAGCCAAATGTTATTATGAATGTTAAGCACAAATATCATGCCTGGTAGCTAATAAGATCTCCAGAATTGTCAGATTACCATTTTTTTCCTGCATGATATATTACCAATTCAACCCTCCTTTATGGTCCTAGCTGCTACAGAAATTACTTGAGATTAAATAATAATCTATATATGATCATAAAAATAAGCTGCCATTGTATTAATTTTGAAAAGTTTTTCTTTTCACCTACACTAAAGACTTCATTACAAATCCAAAGAATGAAATCAAGACTCTGGGTCCTTCTTAACATTCTTAAATATATACATGTATCATTATTATAGTAATTTATTTAAGTAAAAATGTATCCATTTACCTTGCATCCAAAGTCTGACCCAAAATATGAAGACAGTTGACAATTGATGTTGCATCATTGCCTGAAGAGGAAACAAAATGCCGTATAAATTGCCCTGAGAATTTCTCAATGTTCTTCTTTTCTACCAATATTTGTGCTAGAAAAATTAGTCAATGGCACAACTCAACAGCAATAACTTAATTTAAAAGATTTTGTAATAATCAAGTTTGAAATCATGCAGTTTTTCTGCTTAAAAGTGGTTATGCAAATGTAAGTAGAAAAGCAATAAAGCATGTCTCATCAAATAGCTGACATGCCCAAGAAGCATTCAAAAGCATTGCACCAGGCTAAAAGAGTTTTAACCGAGGTTTTCAATAACCCTCTCTGCCTCCCATCTCACTGGATTTTTCAGTCTTATTGGTTACAAACTTTTAAAGTCAGCTCATATCCTTTATGAAATGAGGTGGGCTTAAAGTTTAAAATTTTTAATTCCATTTTAATTGCACCAAGTATTTCTGCTTTCTTATTTTATTCCACTGCATTAAGATGAATTAACTTGCCTGAATTCAATTGCATGAAGGTAAATTAATTTCCTTGAATGTTATTGGTCTTTGGCAAAAACCAAAAAGCACCAAACCATCATGTAAAAAAAAAAAAAAAAAAATCAGAGGCTAAAGAAGTTAAATAATACTCCTATGAGATTTTGAGATGGTAGTAACTCCTCTTGAAAGTAATATAAAATTCACTCATTTTGATTGGCATATTTTACCAGGAAGTACAGAAATGTGAGTGATAAAAGCATTACATACACTTTTCTTTGTAATGGTGATATAGAAAGCAAATAAAATGATGAATTCAAGGTAACAAAATAATTTGACCACTTACAATACAGTTTGACATGATCAGTTCCTCATTTTACACACACACACACACACACACACACAATCATCTCCTGGGTGTTGAGATTGACAAATATTATTTGAATATCTGAATGTAAGTTTTTGTAATACTGGTATATGTTATATTATTTATACAAAAAAGTAACCTAAAATGAATGACCTAAGTACACACTGAAATTAACAATTGTATTAGAACATAGGCAAACCAGTTTAGTGATATGATACAAATAAGAAAAAATAAGCTATTTATTACTGAGATTCTGAGTTTTTATAAAAATATTCCCTCATCTTGTGCTTCAAGTCTCAGAATTCCTGGTAATAATGAAGACAAAATGAGCAGAAAGGTAGGATTTGTTATTTCCCTGTCCATTGGTAGATGCCAGCTCTGGGCCTTCTCCTGGAACCCTTAGATGTATTCGTTTGATGATTAATTCATTTAACAAATAAAGATTAAAACCAGGCACTCTCAAATTTCCAGTAATAAACAAAATAGTCCTCGTGGTACTAGCATTTTAAAGGGGGATATAGATAATGAATCAGTAAGCAAACAACAACAACAACAAAATATTTAGCAAAATATCAGCATATAACACAATAGCAGGCCACAGTTAAATACATGTATAAAATATATTTGTTATATATAAAAATAGATTATATAAATATATAATATATAACATATAATATATAAGTACATAAATAAATTATATATAACATATATATTATATATAAATATAAAATATAAAGTACATACATATACATATAGGTGGGAGATGTCAGGTTCTAGACATCTATAGTACAATATAAAATATAAAGTACAATATAAAATATAAAGTACATTACATATTTGTTACAAATATATATATTCCAAATATATATATATTTGTTCCATATATATATATTTGTTCCATTTATATATATTTTTGTTCCATATATATATATATTTGTTCCATATATATATAAAATATCAGAAACTGGGTAGAATAACAGGGAAAGAGGTCACGAGTCCTTCCTGGAGGCAGCATTTGAGCAGAGGTTGGAATGACATGAAGAAACAAACCATCCATGTATCTGAGAAGGAGACCCAGGTACAGGGAAGAGCACATGCAAAGGCTCTGAGGCAAAAATGAACCTGGTGTTCCAAGCAAGGAGGGTCCAGTGGCTAAGGTGGTCAGAGCAAGAGGAAAGAAGCAGAGTATGAGGTGGGAGATGTCAGGTTCTAGAGCTTCATTAGAGCGAGCCCTTGGATTTTCAGTGCAGTAGGAAGACATTCTTAGGTTCTGAGCAGGATGGGATATGATATGATTTCTATTTTCAAAGAATTCCCTATGTGGGAAATTCTGGCAGAGCAAGAGTGGAAGACAATTAGGGACCTACTGCAGGAACGGAATCAGTTCACTGATGATGGTGAATTCAGAATAGGGTATCAGTGGTGAAGAACTTGAGAATATATATTTGAAGGATTTACTTACGGATTGAATGTGAGGTGAGTGGGAAAGCAGTCAAGGATAAGTCTAAGGTTTTCTGCCTAAGTAACTGGGTGAAAGGTGGCACCATTGAATGGTACACACAGGAAGAGGCAGACTGTGGGAGGAAAGGGATGGGTGGGGCGGGGGCGGTCCTAACCCTTGCTTTGCGCATATTAAGTGTGATGGGCCTATTAGTAATTCGGGTAAAGATGTAGAATAGGCAATTGATTAAAAGAAAAAAAAAAGTCTTCAGTGCAGGTAAGAGATCTAAGCCAGAGCTATACACTTGGGCATTGTAAACATACATTTAATTCTAAACATCATGGGTCTAAATGAAACCAGCCAGCACGAATATAAGTATAGAAGAAAAAAGGCCCAGGGCCTCCAGTGTTTGGAGGCAGAGAAGATAAGAAAGATGCAGTACAGACGATGGGAAAGAGAAGGCCCATGAGGAAGAAGAGATCCAGTGCAATGTGTATGGGTCCTGTGCCACTATTAATCAACCCCAAATCAGAGAGGCAGGTCCTTCACTTTTCCTAAAACACCCAGTTGTCTGTCCCTTCCAATCTGCTGTCTGTCATTATAGATTGGCAGTGTTTGTACTTGGTACTGAGTTTTCCTGTGCCCTTTCCCATAAGGGGTGGCCGGGGCTCTTTTAAACTTCTATTAATATAAGCTTGAGAGGCTGGGATTTTTGTTTGCTTTGCTCTCTGCACCTAGAATAGTGTGTGACATACAGCAGGGCCTTAAGATACTTGTGGACTGGCTTTGGGATGTAAGAAGAGTAGGAAACAGCACCAATAGCCAGACAAATTCTGTGGGTTGACTGAAACTGTGTATTGGGAATATGAAATTTCTGTGATGCTAAAGGAATAAACTATAAACTCCACACATTTTTACATTTTGGTAGGCTCCTTTTAGATGCAGTACAACTTTAAATAGAAATACCTCTATGTGAAAATGGGAAAGGGACTCTAAGAATGTAGAAAAAGTAGAGTCTTCAATATTTTAATTTGTAGACCAGGCAAAAGCGTCAATCCCATTAGCATATGTAAGAAGCCTAAAATAATGAGTAGTCTTGAAGAGGTAAAGCATGTGGTAAGGCTTTTCAATAAAATAACGACTGAAATATTGTCCTTCTTAAAGCTATCCAGATCACCATAATCAGAAATGTCAATCATGGTACCAAGGAAGAACAGGGAGGGCCAGTAGAGTTTTCTAAGATGATAAAACTTTAAGGTGGCAACAAGACTTTTATGTACTTAAGTTTACATAATTGCTTCATTGCTCTGGGTGGTGTAAAAACCAAAAGATTGATAACTTTGCAACTCACAGTATTCCAAGGACCCAGCTATTTCCCTTGTCCTCAGATACACACCTCTCATCACCTCTAAGCACTTAGGGAAACACTGACAGATTGCCTCTTTGTCCTTAAGATTGTGTATTTATATCAGTGCATTAAGCTGTATGTAAAAATAAAAAGTACATAATTAAAATAACAACTTACACCTGAGTCTAATAACAATGGAGACAACATTGGGTTTTAAAAAACATTATGAGAACTCTCATATATGACTCTCTAAATAATAAAAACAACAAATTACATAATATAAATATAAATAATTTTTGCATATTAATCCCACATTGTTTTTTAAAATAAAGTTTCTATAACTCAGGAATTCTCAGTGTTAAATTTGACATATATGGCAGTTCTGTCTTATAATCTGATAAACTGAGAATTCAGAGAATGTTGACTTCTCTCTCTTCTGGAAACAGTGATAGCAGTCATTCTACTTTTTATTTTTCTCTACTTTTCTAATATTACATTCTTTTCTCTGAAGAAATGATCAATCTTGGCAGAACTTTATTAATAATGTGAAATACCACTATGCCAGAACTTATAAATTTCTCTCACAATTATGAGAGAATAGAGAGAAATTGAAGAGTGTCAATGACTTTGTTATTTCTAAAGCCTGTGATATTGAACAGAGTAAAATTATTGGTTCCCTAATTTGGTGAGGAGTTTCAGTCAAACTGAGAATACATTTTGAATAACTACATAGTCTACTCATTTTTCAAAGCCAGGAAATTGTCCTATAGTGCTATGTTCAACTGAAAGAATTATCTGTATCGCTCTAATACTATGTTGCTCTAATACTAGGTATACTTTATTAATTTCATTATAGGCATCTAATTGCAATATTTCTGAACTTCTCTAAAAAGTAGGATTTTTTACAGTATACATAATAAGTTAAATCTAGGGAAGAGTTGTTCTTGCCATGCATATTGTCATAGTCCTACAGAATTTTTAAATTAGAGAAGCATCTCAGTGATTCTCCAGTTACAAAGAACAAGGATAAGAAAATAGTTACACAATGTGCATGATTGGACTATTACATTCTCAACTTAATGGCACACTGAATCCTCAAATAGGCTTCTATCCCCAGTGATTCCGAGTACTTTAAGTAATTTTTCTTTTATTGTATGTGTCCTACCAAACACAAGTACAATCTGAGCCTTGTTAGAGATAATACAAACATATTAATTTTCTAATATAATAACTTCTGAGATAAGACAGCAATCATCATATAAATACATCAGTGTTTTTTGGAGAGATATTAGAAGTATCAACATGAACTTAATCTACTAATTTATTGATTAGGGAGAAATAAGAGTTGATAGAATCCATTCTATTACTTTACTTAGTATCTACTTTT